TTTGTTTTAAAACAAATTAAAACAATTCGATTGCAGTAGAAGGCAGTGGATCCATGGTGCTAATGCCAGGAACTGCCAGGATGTTTCAAGTGCAAAGGTGAAGCCATGCGAAGCTCTAGGAGACATTCCAATTATCCGCACTGAGTCAGCACCGTCTGTGGAGCAGCATTGAAGCAAACAACACACCTATAGAACTAACACGTTTTCTTGCCGAGGCGGCCGGCAAGAAACAACACACAACAAAGTCTTTGAGTCACTGGCCACGCCACGAGTATTTCACCATGTCATGAATTCGTGTTTGGGCTCTGCCTTTTTGGCTGACAAAGGGATTCTGCAAAGTGGGAGCAAGATGGTAGTTAGTTTGCGAGCTGCTCACACGTGAGCCAGAGGCCGGAAGGAGCTGCGCTTCAGGATTTAGGAGAGGAAATCTCGAATGTTGCACTTTTTTTCTGGAGGTTCTTGACTCATGGGCTCTGGCGGCTCCAGCAAAGTGGCCCCCTCGAGTGGGCCATGTCAAGCCAACACTGGAGTCATGATGGTTGGCCTGGATCCTTTACTTTCCAAGAAGTATATGACGCTCGATCAGAACGGCAAGGTGCAAGCAGAGTTACTGAGCTGAATGTACTGAATTTAGTGCATGAAGAAGGCTACACGTCAGATTTCAGACTTTAGACACAGCGACGCGTCGAAGAGACAACCTGTCATGCAAGGTATGTGTGGATTGACTCCGACTACTGGGATGGACAAAGCTTCGACTTGTGCTGTAAAACCCTCACTCTGGCAGACGCACCGGTTTCCCTGGAAGAAATTCCCATTTGGACGTACTCAGGAGATGCTGCATGGTTGCAAGAGTAAACGGTTGCTTGTTGCGCCTGCAGTCTGTGCAGCCTCTCTCCAAAAAATGTTGACCCACCCTCCCGCTCCCCCTCGCCCCTTCCCTATCCGCATCCTCAAGCAAGACGCCCCGTTGTTCCCCTTACCCCGGTCCGTGCTTGGGGTGTTGAAAGAGCTTAGATTTTAGCGCCCTGCTTTTGGGGGCTTGCGGTTTTAGCATGCCTTGGTGCTCTGAAAGTTAGGGCCTGGGCTCTGGTTTTGAGGTCTTTGAGCTTGAGGGATGTATGCGATCGGTCATAGGATATCAGGTTCAGGGTCCAAACCTCCAGGAGAGGGGTTTTTGGCGCGCAGAAGCGTGGGTGTCGTGGACTACGTGAAAGTGTTCCAGGTTTTTATGTCAGAACTCAGGGATGCTTGAAATGTTGAGGTTGCAGGTGTATAGGCCTTTCGGTGCCAAGTTTGAGCTTGATAAGGAAAACCCAAGTCAAGTGACGTCGACCTAGTGTATGATTCATGCTTCAACAAAGTTTACCTGCAGCATGCCTGTCCTTCATGCTTTGCACAATCTTTTTGGCTGAGTCGCATGGATGCGGGAGCCCCATTCGTAGAGGCACCAAGGCAGAAATTCCGCAATTTACACAGCAGCAGCAGGTAGATCTCAGCTGGAGACTTGCCTGAGTCTTACGTGATAGCAATTCTGGGCCCAGTCTAGCATGCCCCCCAGCGCGCTACCAATCCGGTGCTAGCCTGCCCCTGATCCCCTGAGGAGGGTGCAACAGTTGCACCAACGAACCACTCGCCCGCCCTCTAAAAACAAGCCAACAGCCCTGGGTTTGCTAAGGATGCCAAAGACATAGTGATTGTGCCACGGCGAATGTACCGAGATCCATTCCGGCCGGGTCACAACAACATACTCGTCCTGGCAGACACATACCAGGACCTGAGCGACAGTGCATGTTCGCCGCCAACTAACATATGCTAACATAGCTGAATTGAGAACCGAGCAGCCTGACGCAGGAGCCATCTGGTGATCAAACCGACCATGGCTCCGCTACAAAATTCAACACACGCGCAGCGTGTGAGGCAGTGTTCTGGCTGCAGTACCGGAGGATGCATTCTGGATCTAAGCATGTGTGGTGACAAGCAAGCTGGGCTCGTGTGTTTAAAAAAACGTATCGTCCTGCTTAATTCCTCACATTCCTTGACAGCGGGCATTTGAGAACCCGAGCCTACAGAGATTGGACCCACATCTTGACCACCTCACATGTGACAGTCGCTTCACAGAGTTTTACCCCAAACTGATTGAGTCCCCCGGGGCGTTCATTTCCCACGGTTCAGGGGTCTGCTCCAGACATCAGGGCAAAATGACTTTAAATTCCGAGAAGCCAGCATCAGCTTCAAGCCTTACATGTGATTGCAAGACGCATCGTTTTGGTAACTTAAGGCTCAGAGAAGGTGTCATAAGTGTCAGGTAAATGCGCGCATTTAAAGAAGTGTGAAGTCGATGCCTCGGTAGATGTGTTTGAGGCAATGCGGCGAGCAGAGGAGGTCGGCGAGGCCTTTGTGCGTGCAAAGGGCAATTATGGCTGCCAGCTTAGCTCTCGCATGGATTTCTGGTGAGGATCCTTGGTTTGGGTTCGAGCAAGAGTACTACTTGCTCGACACCACGACGAATTGGCCACTTGGATGGCCTCGCGGGAAGTATCCCGACAAGGATACAGTCACCTGGCGTGGTCTTTGGCCCACAGCAAGACCTTTGGTGCTATCAGAAGTTTGCGTAGATATGCGTAGATGATGCGTACTGCAACTGAGGCCTTTTACTGCTCTGTGGGCTCGCAGAAGGTCGTGGCGCGCAGCCTCATCGAGTCTCACTACCGGGCTTGTCTCTATGCCGGAGTGATGATTGGTGGCATCAATTCGGAGGTGCCTCAAGCTCTTGAGTCTAGCGATGATGCGGTCGTGTCAGCCAGCCGCAGCTCAAAAATTAGCACAATGCTATTTGTCATTATCATGGACGATCATGCATCATCCTCTTTCCACGTTTGGTGAAGTATGCTGAACTTGTATGTTCTGGCAGCATTCTTACAGATTGGCCCTGCAATCACTGTAGTGGGGAACAGAGAGCTGGCAGATGCTCGCAAGCTGATCAAGATGTGCTAGTGCGAGTTTCGATCGCAGAAGCACACTCGCGCCACCAGCACAAAGACGGAGACCACCTCTGGACCCTTAGGACAGGAGGGCAACCAGCGACACTTAATCAGAGACTCTGCAAGAGGCAAAGGAGTTCACTTCCACGGACATAAGGTGCACCTCAGGACTTTAAAGCAACTTGCACCAACAGCAGCCCGAAATCTAATACCCCAATCTTGGGTTCCCCCGTGTTGCGATGCGTTCAACAGCTGGTGTTTGTTTGATGCTGCGGATGCTTCTTTCACCACGCATGAAATGACACGCTGCTGAAGCAGCACCGGCAGCGCGTGCAGCAGCAAGATCTTGGGGCCGAAGAGAGCAGGAGCGCGGGGCAACAAAACATGCGAGCAAAGCGGTCCCCGGAGATGGCGTGGAAAGCCTAGCCATGCAACGTTGCATCGTTTGCTTGCACACCTATCACTGCAGTCGTAAATCGCACCCTCCATCACTGGATTTCCAAAGCATGCTGACTCAGCAACTGAAGTTGATCCTCTGCTATCAGTTGACTACTTGCCCAAAAGATGGCATATATGGCATGGCAGAGAACTTTCTGTAATTAGTTTGTGGCCTTGCCAGCTACTTCGTGGACTTGTCCAGTTTGTCTAGCCCTACCGGGAACCTGAGGAAAGTGAACTGAATGTGAACATACGTGGCTTTGCCATGCAACCTGCCCTCCGCAGGTTGCCCCTGCCCAGTGGGAGTTCCAAGTGGGTCCGGCATCTGGAACGTATCTGGGACGGTGTTTAACACTTGTGAGAGACTCAAACATAGTCAGAACTGACGAGCTGAGGTTGGGTGCGGATGACCTTTGGATGGCGCGTTACATCTTGCAGAGACTTTGTGAGGACCTTGCGACCTCAGTGCGAGATAGGATTGCACAGCTGTTCCAAGAAGAATCAGAGTGTGAGGAGTACCAGGTAGGGGTCACATTTGACCCAAAGCCTGTGCCAAAGCAAGCTGGCATTGGCTGCCAACGGCTCGGCAAACTCAGTGACTCTTCAATGCTGCCGCTGCAGTTGCAATACTACAGGTCATACAAATTACTCCAACATGGCTACCCGCAGCAGCCCAGGACCAAAGACAGTGTTGTGCTGTTCTGTTGATGCGGCTGCTTGCATAGCAGTTTGCGAGTCCTTTATCATTTCCGTCGGCTTTGCAGACCTCTTGTGACTTCGCGCAGCGAGGGAGTGACTCCGTCCATTTATGCCAAAAGGGCATCTGTGAAGCTGTGCTTTGAACTTGTCGACATTTGTTGACGCTCTACGGCAGAACTTTGGCATGGCAACAAATGTTGCAAGAACAGGCAACAACAACAACAACAACAACAACACACGTGTGAAGGTGACCATGGTCGTTTTGCATTCGCACGGGGCAATCATCTCCGCAGCTGCCTTGTGGTGCGACGAACCCACTCAGCCCAACAGGTGGAATGGGGCCGACATCCTGTTCAGGCCACTCTCCCCCTCCGCTTCCTTCAAAGAGATTCGAAGAGGAAGGAAAACGATACTTTCGGGATTGTTGGCTAAACACATGCAACATTCAAGCAAATCCAATACTGGCAATACTATCTCATTCAAAGGTCACTTCCTGCACGGAAGAATTGCAGCACTAGAAACCTGGGGCAGAGAAGCTCCGCGTTCCTGGCATGTGCTACTTGTAGCAGCCAGCACCTGACCGCTGCCACTTTGCCCGCCGCTGTTTGTTGTATTCGACTGCAGGAGGCATGGATGCCATCAAATCGCAATGCGAACGCCTGCGAAAGAATCATGCCCCGGTCCAAGACGTGGTGTGCACGGGTGCTTGATGGTGCTTGTATAGGAAGGAGCCCAGCCTGAAATGCCTCTCCTCATTCGAACGATTCAAGCATGTGCGTGGGCCGAGACAGATTTTAGGCTTTCATCCAAGTAGGAGAGCCTTCGAATGCAGGCCAAACACATCTCCAACTACGGCATCGGGAATGAGCGTCGACTTACTGGCAAAGATGATACGGCCTCGATCAATGACTTCTCTTGGGGTGCCCCGATCCGATCCGGCAGTTGTTTCAATTGTTGGTTGTCTTTAACCGGGCATGCTTGCAGGTGTTGGCGATCGAGCAGCTAGCATTCGCATCGGCTGCAAAGTAGTCCATGCCTCATTGCATCTCATTCCAACGAAGCCATTAAAAGTGGTTGCAACTGAAGCAGCAAGCAATGTGAGATTTACCGGGGGATGGGTTTCACGCAGCGAGGCGATGCGCGACTGCGGCTACTACGAGGCCAACGACTCAGAGACTCGAAAAGACCCTTTAAAGAATTTTTAAAAATCTAACGATTTCAGGACCGGCGGCCCGCAGCCAACATGGATCCGTATCTCGTGTCCCAGCTTCTAGCCCGAGGCTTACATGGTCTAACTGAAAATTCCCATTTTATTTGGCTTCATAAACCCTATGATCTCTTGGCTGCGCCCTGTGCTCCGCAAGCCGGACTTGGACCGATCGTGACGACATGTTCAGCGTGAGAGGCTTGAAGCAAAAATGTGGAGCATGCTGCAACAAGAAGGGAGGTTGCCGGCTTCATGTTAAGCAACAAACTCCACATTGATGAGAAATGAAAATCTTCACACGTTTAGTCTGCACGTGAGAAAAAATCAAGAAACAAAAGCAAGTTCGGCTTGGTTGGCCCAACATCATGTTGTGCATGTGTGCCTGTGCGTTAACTTCCTCAAATTGAAGGTTGAGACAACTCTTCTCGACAAAGTGGAGCAGGACCCTAAGCCTGAGCCTGCAGTTGAGAGCGAACCAATTGAGTAGCGCCATAGCGGGGTACCTGCTTTCTGGCACTCTTCTTACAGATTATGTTTTTGCTGCCTTCCATGCTGACACAAGAAGTAGAGGCAAGGCACGCTCATTGAGCGACTAGGTGGCATTGTTGCTAATGCGTGGTTTGCATTGTCACAAATGTGACAGAGAGCGCAGCCGTACATGCACGATTGACACGCGCATGCGTGAAAAACTAAATACCGTTTTCCGTAGCTGAGCCAGTCGCAAAGCGATGGGCACAGCCTCCGAATTCGGAACTCTGCCAAGCGGAGGTGAAAAGCATACTTGGTGATTGCGTCCTTCCATGAGGTTCTTGGCTTGGCTGGATGACATTCGCCACGCATTCAATGCGTGCATTCATGCATTCCTTCCGTCATTCATTCATGCATGTGGTCCGCATCATGCGTGCATGTGCCAGGCTGTGCAGCCAGCTTGTAACATTGATCATTTGTCCCGTCAGTGCCTTTCAAGGCCTTGAGTGGCTCGCACAGTTTTCTGACATTGGCAGTTGGTAGCATGCCATGCCACACCTGAGCCTGTCAAAGCAGAAGCACAGCTTGATTTACTGAAGCCGAAGACCGTTGTTTCATTTGACGTTGAGCCCCGATAGCTCCTGCTATGCTGCGGCGGCACCGGAAGTGATGATCCCTGGAGGCATGATGGGATGCTAGGATACGGAACAAGCTGGAGGCGACAGACGACGTGAGACTGAAAAGGCAATCCGGTGTTGCAGCTTGTCCCTTTGGTCTTGACTGGCTCGTGTTGAGATCTGAGCTTTGTCTTGCAGATTCATATGGAGGTTGTTCTAAAGGTCTTTGCAAGGAAGGGACCATGGGGCATGGGGAATACACATCCTTCAATGGGGATTGTAATCAAAAAGGGAGACTACTGTAGCTTACGGTCTTTTTTGGGACAGGTATTTTGAGCAACTGTCCCATATGAAGTGGCAGTGTTGCGGTGGCAATCAACTTGTGTTAACAACAACATGCCAGGGCGTGGCGAAAGCCTCAGATGCCCGCACTGTTATTTTGCGAAGAACGCTTAGTATAGCTGAGGCCTTGGTTCAGTTTACAACCTTTTTTGTTGTGAGGTTTTCCTGCTGCAGCAGTATGACGTCGAGAAGCTTGGGTACGACCCCCAGTCTGGTACAGCAGACTCAGTTCCTGCAACAGGGAAGCTGGTGCAAAACAAGTTGTTGCGCAGCACATAATCTATTCGCTATAGCCATTAGCTTCAATATCAGCAACATCTTCACTAGCCCCGAGCTCTTGCCTGTTCAACGCTAGCTAACGTATGTTGAGCCTGTACGCAGGCTCAGCTATCTTCTGTTGTTGCATGGCAGTGAGATTTCTTTCTCCACTGTCCCGCTCAAGGTATGTGCCTCACTTGCGTGTCATCTGTGGCCTTGTCCAGCTTTGCTGCGCGCATCTTAGTCCGACTGTGAAGTCGTCACATGAGACTGGGGTGCAATTCAGGTGCAGGCGCGCTGATTCTGGAATCTTAGCAGCATGTAAATCGCATGTAAATCCTGAGGTTGTTTTTTCTTTGTTGCTACCACGCACTTGCCTAGATCCGATTCAAGATAGCTGACATGCCGGAGGGCAACAAGATTCAGGCCGTGACAGCTCCTAACGAAATCCATATAGGAATTCGCTTGAGCCAGGTGCCTGCAGTCGTTCAGATGGGCATGGAAGTGAAGCCGGAGCCTGTGATTCCCAAAAAATCCATAGGGTGCACCTACAGTGCACACAGATCTCAAGACTGCAAATGCAAGGCCGGCCATGGAGCAGTCATCCAGAGAATATGCCTGCGCCTTTTTTGTGAAACACCGTCTTGGTCATGTTCGCAAGGTTCAACTGACGCTGGTGCAAGGGTTTGCATGGGCGCGGAGAATCAATGATTTTGATATTTACCGATCCACAGTGTTTGCTCCGGCAAAGCTCACAGGAGCCTTACAGCTGGCCGCTTTGGACCTCCAGATCAAAGAAAGAGAGCCAATTATAAAGGATCAGGCGCAATCAGTCGCCAATGTGTCGTAATTATCGTCGTTCTCCTTGTTCGTCTGCACACTGTGGTCCTTTTAGCCCTAGTTCTTGCTGCTAGTGCGCTACTTCCGAATGCTAGACGCCCCTTGAGGCGTGACACGTTTCCATAACATGTGCTACCAAGCGGGAGCAAGACATGAAGCATGAGTTGCGGCTTGCAATAGACGTTCGTTTGCATTGCCCCGGTCTGCATCCAACAGTGCAGCGTTTTCTTGCCAAGCTGTCGCAGCAGCGTGTTTCATGCCTGGACACTCCCAGATACCCTTTGTCAGGTCTCCCTTCGGTTTTGTTGCCCACCGTGCTGAAGTGTGGAAGGTGCGGAGAATTGCATTTGGGCGGCCAGCGTTGCTCCAAGTAGCACATCTTCTAAGCTCCCGCAGCTGAGGAATCATCAGCACCATAGAAGCTACAGCCGCCCAAAACGCCCCCATCCGTCAAGTGCTGTGTGTCGACTCGCGCAGTGCGCTATCAAAGGAAGCTTGGTGTGCCTGGCAACGCTGACCAACACCTTTTATTGCCCTAGCGTCGTACAGCTACATCGCGCACCTGCACGGGCTCACACGGTTGCAATGTTCTATCCCAGAATCCCGTCACAGGGCCCTTTGAAAGCATGTTTGGATGCTGCAAACAATGAAGATCTACTTGACAGGCTAGACATGAAGTCGGCAGTTTGTAGCTTGCCATGTCCTGGAAGCATCGGCGCAAGCAGTTCCAACTCATTTTTCAAACACTTCCAATGTTCACGTTTTTCTTTGGCGTTTAGTATTGAATGTCCCGCAGTGAAACAGGAGTATGATGAGCACTGCGGGCTCAAGTCTGCCACCGGTGCATGAATCTAAGCCGATGAGGGGGTGCTTCCTTTGGTGCCTGTTCCGGGTACCCTTCCCAATTCCCCCATCGTTCAAGCACCGCTGCGTAGACAGAAAAGGCCTGCACCGGCAAGAGTGACAGAGCGTTTACTTCGTGTGAGGCCTTGTCAGCAGTAACGTTTCCCCTTTTGTGCAATCACGGCTCGCAGACTTTCTGACCTTGATGTTGCTTGCCTCAGAATAATTTCAACAGGAGTGCCTCTGCATGTTGCGCTTATTTGTTGACTTAGGATATGGCGAAGTGGTTTGAGCAGATGCAGCAGCCTGGAGCTAAGCACTGCATTCCTGTCCTGCCAGATGCATATTCAGACAAACAGCCCTGTGAATTCTCAGCAGCTGGCAGACGAAAATTGAACATTTGGGAACGAGGCAAGTCGTGGGCTGTATCGTCTTGGCTTGCATTCATGTCTTGCTGGCATGTTGTTGCAGTTTGTGGCTCGCTGCCTTCAACCTCTGACCTTGCCAGTTGCAATGGGGCTACATTACCCCCTTGGCGCTTCAGTGTGTCACGGCGCCGCTTCAGTTGCTTGATGCTGCTTGCCAGCACCTGTCTATTGTACCTCTTGAAAGACGAGATCATGCGGAGAAGAAAGCTTTACCCTGCTATGGCCATCCAAGTCGCCACTCGTGAAGATTCACTTGCTGGGGCAACCTCCTCATGGAGCCTTGAAGAGGCATGCGCAAGTTGCACAACCACTAATTTGGATGTGTGATCCATGTGCAGGCCATTTCCAGAGAAAAGCCTGCTGCCGTTTCCTTTGCCTGAAGCGGTGCGACTTGCCAAAGTATGCGTTGGAGCTGTGAGGAGTGTTCGCTTCGCCAGGAGCCCACCAAGGAGAAGGAGAAGCCCAAGAAAGACAAGTCCAAGAAGAGCAAGTAGCCGCAGAAAAGGGGATCTGGTCTCCGATTCTTGTAGCATCCTTCGTCTTGCAGGAAGCCACTCAATTCATGTTGATCCATGCCGCTTGCAGAAGCAAAAGCATTGAATCTCACATTATCCCGCCTCCCGCGGCCGCTGCTCACGGTCGGTAGCCTTTCAATAAGACTGTCATCAGCTCTTGCCTGCAGGCCAGCTGCACTTGATTGCAAATCCTTCCCTTAAAGTCCTACTGTCACAGGCATCTCCACCATGTCGTGCTCCGCTGTTGTCGCTGGCGCCTGTGTTGCCCGGGGTGGTGTTGCTGGGTCAGGGCTCCGTGGGTCTGCCCAGGCCATTTGCTTCGACTCCTCCAGCTTCTTGTGCTGCATGGCTGAAGTTGGAAGATGCTGGTCGAAAACGGTTAAAGAAATGCTCACTATCTTAAGTAGAATGACAAGATGCGTTTGCGGCTTCCTCTGATCTCCAGGCTCTGCTGCGGCAAGTCTCAGCATGAAGAGCCAGAAGGACAAGAGCAAGTGCATGTGCGAGCCGATGCGTTGCTGGCTCAGTAGCTTTCAGTGGTTCGAGGTGCAGCTGTTTACTCTGCCGCCTTGCGACCCTGACTAACACCGAGGAATGCGCATGTGGATGTGGAAGATGATGATGATGCCGATGTCAGGCATGATGTGAAGGCAAAGTGATGGCTGGGAAGTACGTTGTGTTCGTGGCGCCACTCATATTGCTTGCTACAGCTACAGGCAGGATGCCCCTCATGCCAAGTCGCCGAATTGCAGCGGAGAGACACAAGGCAATTGACCACGCCCAACCAGCTTTGCTTGGCGGGACTCACCTGGTTGAAACAGCTCTGCCGTCACTAAGAGAGCTTGAGCTAAGTCAACTTTTGCAGGCTTGGGCATCCATGCAACAAGGCCGCACGGTCTTTGTTCGTTCCTGCTAGCAGACCAAGATGTTCGCATCGTGTCTCTCCAGGCCTTAGCCATGGTACCATGCCACTGCGCGCAAAAACAGTTCGGTGCTTGGGCATATCCTGGCCCGCTCCGATGCCTTGAGACGGACTTGAACGATCAACTTCAGAATGCTTCAGACTGCAAATTCAAAGCCCGTAAGATCGAAGCTTTGCCTGACAAATGCTTGCCCCTTGATTTGTTCCCACGTTGTGGGGTGCCCGAAAACCAAAAAATCAAGAATCATGCACTCAAGCTCCAAGGCACGGCAGCTCAGCGTCGCTTTGCAGGCTGGTATAAGCCAGCTGCAGGCGGGGTATGGAAATGGGGAGACTGCGCGGCTGCAGTTGCCGAGCCTCGTATGGCCAACGCGTTGCCTGCTTTGCAGGACCTACTTGCCACACTGCCGTTTGTGCAGCGGCGCAAAGCAGTGCAGTCACTCTCTCTGCAACTGCGCTCTGCTGTGATTCGCCAGCTGGAGGCCAAGTGATGCTGTTTGATCCATGTTGACCCATGCCCTGGAAGATCCTGGAAGCACAGAAGAGTCTGCACCGCTCTGATGATTCCTTGGAAGGCTGCCAGGTGGAGACAAGCCACTGGCGAAGCCAGACCCAAAGCAAGTGGGCCTCCGCAAAGCGTCGCCTCCACACCTCCCCTCACCGGATGTGTTTGACAGGTACCTCTGCGAGCAGAGGGCGCAAAAAGCGGCCGCAGAGCCGCCCTCAGGTGCCAGGGAAGGAGTCCTTGCTGGGGTCGTGATCCCACAGCCTTCGTCATTCCAGTACTGCCGCTGGAGGCCCCCATCTTCTCATCTGCAGAGGCTTGCAGGACGTGTAATGACGAATATGACGAGCAAGTGTACTGAGTAGTGGGTTTGAACAGGATGAACAGGCTGCTCGCAGTGTGAAGCCACCAGGACAACCAAGTGCCCGCCGAGGAACTGTATCTGCGGTTTCCGCCCACGGCTGAGCAACGGTTCTCCTCAACGCTCTCTTTGTACCAATCTCAAGCGAGGTCGGGCGCAGCACAGGATACATTGCGCGCATCACGATCCGCAGCTTCTCGGTGAGCTCAAGGCGAGCAAGTGTAAGGCTGAGCTTCGAAGGGACCCTGTGCACCCAAAAAGGTGCTTTAAGACACAAGAGAAGGCCGAGAGATCAAGGCCGTAGACCGCGAACATCTTCGAACGAGTTGAGTGTAAACAGACAGTGTTCAGACCTGTCCAGGCTCTGGCTTGCTGACTTGCGCTTTGCTCTAGAGGCCTGGCTCGGTTGGAGAACCCTTCTTTCTGCCCCAGGTTGATTTAGGGTGCGTTCGAACAGCTGGAGGCAGTGGATACACCTCGGTGGCTCCTCACCCCACAACAACTGCATTCGCAACTGCATGTTCTGGCAAAGGACGATAAACATGTACACAGAACTGCAAGGCGTCCATTGAAATTGACAAGCAGGATCGGCAAGCTGGCTGTTGGAGCTCTTCCATACCAGTAGAAGGCTGCAGGACCTCCAGCTGTTTGCTGATCCTAGATTAGATGCGGCAGCGGCAGGCAATGCCAACACCAGCAAGAATTACCAGAACCACAAAAATGGAAAGAACAACAAAAAACAGCAAAGCAAAGAAGCAGAGGAGGACAAGGGGGCAGAGAAGGAGGGGGAGCAGCAGCAAATGCCACAGCACCTATCGCCTGCTGACGCCACTGTCATAGGTCCCGAGTCATCGCGTGCTTGATCGTGTGGATCCTTTCTTCAACCACTTGCCAGTCGGGCACTAATGTGAAACCGCAGCCGTGCGGCGAGCAGAAGATCTACATGCCATGTTTGATATGAAGTCCAGTGAAGTTGCTGAAGCAACACCTGTCCAACACCTGTCCAACCGCGGCAGGCAGTGCCAGAGGAGAACGAGGAAGAGTTCGATGGCATACTTCGACACGCATTTGCTCAGTCGGGCGTGTCCCTCACGAAAAGCTCTTGGAGTGCAGTCTGCTCGGTCTTTTGAATCGTGAAGGTTCCACGAATGCATCGACGTGTGCTCCATCAAAATCATCATTTCAGGCCAGGCTTGCGTTAGCTTCCGAAGCTTCCGAGAGACGTAACGGTTCTCTGGCATGCTCGCTGATTCATCAGCTGTTGCATTTCCTGCATGATGTGCTGTGGTGAGGCACTTGACGTCACTCAACAACCAACATGTTCGACTAGCCTATAACAATTCGAGAGAGCGATCTGTCTGTGCAGTAGGCCGAGGTTGGCTCCTCTGCAGAGGCTTGACCTTGCAGTTGTCGTTATAGAGTAAGCAGGCAGCTGCATCGGCATGCAGGCTATGGAGGAGCCATCCTGGCGCTTCCACGTGAGAGCCAGCCTCCAAGAACGTGAAGCAAAGTGCGGCATGACTCCGTATAACCCGGCTTGAGTCGAGCAGTTGTGGTTGAATTCAGGTGGATGCTCGGCGCTGGGCAGGTCGGTTGCTGACATCAAAGAGCCTCAATAATGTTGAGGAGGTGCTTCCGTTCGAAACAGCCAAAGCGGCAAAGATAAATCTGCGTGCTAGAAGGCACTGCAGCTGCGACACCAAGTTGCTGAAGCGAAGAAGCTGGGCTGGGCAGCGGTCCGCGAGTTGTGGGCAAGGTCCGCGATTTGTGCAGAATGTTGTAACATGTTGTAACACTTGCGGCATTTGCATAATCTTCATGTTGTTGCAGCAGCGCTGCAGAGCACAGGTGTCGCAGTCATCGGAGTGGGCATTTGCATCATGGCTAGCAGCTGAGTCACCAAACAAATTCTAGGTTTGGAATGCCACTGCAAGCTGACTGGAGCTGTTTTATCAAGGCCTGTCTGAGCTTGACGTCAGCAGAAAACATCACGTCAAAAAGAGGAAGGAAGCGGAGATCTCAGGGCCTTCGTTGGCGCATCGGTTTTCTACCCGCACACGTTCGGCAGTGAAGCAGAAGAAGCTGCAAGGCTTGCATGCTCCGCAAATTTGCAGCGCAGGCCATGGCAGCCCAGAGTCTGATCAGCATGCGATTGGTTTTATTCCTGTTTGGAAGGACAGGAATTATGCTTGCCTTGAAGCCAAAGTTGAGAAGTTGGTGCCACGCGTGCAGCTCAGCAGAGAGGGGAGAAAAGCGAGCCAAGGACGAGGGGCAAACTGTTGAGGTCTGGAGAGGCAGCTGGCAGCTATAGTGCTTGCTGCGCACCCAGCCACACCAGCTGCCTAAAAGCGCTCCATGTGTTCCACACGCACGTGAAGTTTTGTCTTCCATAGTTCATCACATGGAAAGCCAGCTGCGCGGGGGAGACTCTGTTGGTGTGCTTGCCATGAGTCAGGTGGACTGTGAGCGGTCAAAGTCAAGGACTGCGAGGTCTGAGGGCAAGCGAGCAGGGCAAGGTTCAAAGCCTGCTTCCATGTCAGGGGGCTCCTACTTGAAAGCTCAGGCCAATTTGGTCACACTTGGGACTGCGTTCCCTTGTAAACTAGGTTTGGAGCGCCCGCGGCATGGCAGCAGCATGGACTCAGCCAACTTGGAAGGATAGAAAGAGTTCAACTGACGCGTCCTGGTTCCACCATGGATTCACTGAGCTAAGAACGTGGATTATGTGAGTTCCGCTCGCTGACGGCTTGTGCTTTAGTGGATACAGTCGGGGGATGCAGCCGCCACCACTGATGACCGGAGCGGCTGAGATTGCTGTTCAATCCAATCCTCCATGATCAGCAACCTTACCAGGACCCAGTTGTGGATTCTTGATTCTCACAGCATGTAGTGCAGAGCCTCATGTGTAGCTGTAGCTAGTCGACTAACGAGTTGCTTTGCTCGCAGTCAAACGTCAACTTTCATGTGGCCATAGATTCCCGAAGATGTAAAAAGAGAAACACATGGCCACTTGCACCGTGGGGGTTGAGCCATGGGCCGGTGTGCTTCCTGGTTTGTGGTCTCCAAAAATCGCAGCGAAAATGATTCGACAAAGTGGTGATTTGCTGAGGACATTCTTGGCCATCATTTGCATGGCCCATGAAGCCGCGCTTGCAGGCAGCTCATGGACAGCAATGCCCTCAGGTTGCTCGCGACGGTTGAATCCAGAGAGTGTGCATCTCTCGTTGTGTCTGGCAAAGGAGCAGCTCGACCACGGCAGCGTCAAAGGCTTCCCAAGCTATGATGAGGCTCGCCAGCCGGCATGGTCAGCGTAAAATCGAGCTTCAGTCACCTGACAAGGCCAATGATCTTTTGCGACAGTTTGTGCAAGCCAACCCCAGCCTGCTGGAGAAGCGGCAGACTGGATCTCAGCACAAAAAGACAGTTCCGGAAGTGCCTTTGGTGGCCCAAGCTGCATACATAGCCTTGGTTTTCGGGTGCTGAAGCTTTTTGGTTGAGTTTTGCGCTGTGCCGACCCTTTGAGGGCTCAGATGGGCCTTCATTTGAAGCAATTCTGAGAGTGACGGTATATGATGGTATATTGTCATTGTGGAATTATGCTTGATAAGAATGAAGCTTTCCGTCAAAATATTATGGTTCCGCGCCCAGTGGCGGGGACCAGCCTCCTTTCAGCCAATTTATGGATCAACTACAAAAGTCTGCTTGTCCGCGGCTGCTTGTTGCAGGAGACTACACCAATCAAGAGCCATGCTGTGGGATGGTAATGTGGTCTTTGATTTAGAGCCTGACTAGTCAACAAGCTCATCTCCGGAAAGACAAGCTCTTCATGGGTTCTGGTGCCAAGAAGACCTTCCAAGAGATAATTTCCATCGCTGGTGCACAAAGCAGTGTTGCAAGGATAGGATCTAGCTTCGAGAGTCGGCCTTCAGCTCAGAACTGCGAAGTGAAATCGAGCAAGCTGTGCTTTTTTCGTCGCTAATAAGAGCTTGACAGTTCGGTCGCATCAGAACGGCACTCGTTGCCACAGCTCCAGGCCAATTTATGCGTACATCTTGGCCACACCGGTTGGAAGGCAGCTGCTTTTCTGGGCAGTGCTTTCCATGCAAAGCCTTCTTCAACGCGCTAGGCAGCACAAGCCTCAAGTCTTGCTCACAGCCTTGATGCACGCTCGCGAGCTCGAGCCCTGGAATATTCTGGCCACTTTCGAGAGGTGACACCTGGGATTCGACCTGTTCCGCTGATGCTAAGGCCAGCTGGCCTGACCGTGCTCCTGTACTTCCTTGGTCATATGTTGGACAAATACAACAAGGGCGACGCTGATGCAGCTCAGCAAATCAGACTTCGGCAGATAGGGACCCACGCCCCCACAGGTTGCAAAGTTCCTCATTGCACTTGTTGCAACGTATCTGCAAACTCGGGTTGTACCGGGAGGCGAGTTGTCCATCTTTAGGTTTCGCGCGCGAGGGCATCAGCAACGCAAGCTGACATGGTATTGGGTACGGGCAACACTGCCGGGTCTGATGCAAAGTGCCTTCCTAGGCCGTGTACACTTTGAACATGCGTGAGATCTGGTTCGTGCCTTTTGTCAATCCGGATGGTTACGTGGCAAACCAGGCTGCTCGAGACAGTTTGTGTTTCTGGCGCATCTTGAGTCTGTTACTGCATGGTCAGGGTCTGCGAAACAAGGCCGCGTGCACAGTGCAAATGTAGGCAACGTGGGCTCATAGCATCTGCAGTTTGCATAGGTGATCCGCAAGAATCGGCGGCCAACCTGTAGGTCATCTGTGGATGGAGGCGTTGACATCAACAGGACACAGTGTCATGAGCTCTCGCAGATCCAGAAATCACTTAGCTTGGTAAGATGAAATAAACAGGAACTTCGCTGTGCATTGGTCGAGCAGCTTCGGGGGATGCAGCGAAGAGCATGGTGGGACGTCTGACGCTCAGTACCTGCTTGCAGCCCCGAAATGCCAAGCTTTTGATTACTTTTTCGGTCGGCTGCCAACGGCCATGCGCAGTTGGGACGACATGCAGAGACTTCAAAAGACTGAAACCTTAAATCCGATGATTTGAAGGAGCCTGCCTGGTCGAGACATGTCGTCACAATTGCTGAAGTGCATTTCGCATCACCAGCCCGGCACATCCACACACATCCCGTATTCTCAATCGTTTGCCGACGTCGATGCATTGCGTAGCCAGTGGCGCACAGTGCTGCAGCGTCTGACGTGGTGGAGTCGCACGTAGTGATGGCACGGTCGCATGTCAAGCCTGCGCAACACGCTTAATCCCGCATATGCCGCATGGCAAGAACGGCCGCAGACCACCTCCAACCCCAACAACCATTCCTCTCTTCAAGAAGTGTAGTGAGGAACTGTTGTTTTAGCGTGTGTCTTTATTCAAATTGTGAGCATTACGGTGAGAGGAACAGTAAGATTGCTACTTCCAGGGCGAAATAATCCGGAACAGGGGAATACAGGGGAGGAAGGTTCCAAACGCTGAACAACAGCTGGTAGGTATCCCTGTACAGAGTCTCAAAAGCATGCCGTGACAAATTTTGAGTGTTTTGTGGACGCAGTCAATGCTTAAACGCCCTTGGGTTGCCCGCACCGTTGCAGGCAGCCATTCTCAGAGCCCGAGACGCAAGCCTTCAAAAAGATCTGCGAGGACTGACATGTGGCACTTTGATCAGATTCAGTGAACGGAAATGTATGCCGAGGCAATCAGCAATAGCTCAAGCACCCTCTAGGAGAATAGCTTCAAGACAGCGATGAATTTCCACGCCTATGGCAGCATGCTGACACATCCGTGTGGTACTCAGTATGCCGCAGAACTTTGGTCTGTGGCATTCACGATATCACAAAGCCATCAGAATTTGACGATGCAGCAGCCACATGCAGGTTCAACTGGGCAACCCGGGATCTCATGGATGCTGAAGACAAGAAAATTTATCAGGAAATTGCACGTGTTTTTGGCCACTTGCCTCAGGTAAAGCGCGCAAGTGCTTGTGCTTTCCTGCGATTCTTTCGCCGGTACCCTGAGGTTACAAGAAGTTCGGTCCTGCAATTAAAACCGTTGCAAGAAGCTCAGACGCTCCGTGCAAGACCTTTGTGGACACGGCTTTCCTCATCAGAGAAGCTTTGCTTGGACACAGGGCTATACAACCTCCGGTGAGTCAGATGACTGGATGTACTCAGCAAGGCTGCTTGGAACAAAGCTGTACCTCAAGGAATCCACTCAGTGCTGCACGTGCCATGAACCAACAAGCGCAACAATCATGCAAGGCACATCATCTCGATGTCTCCAGAGGCCTTGCCCTGCGTCGTGATTAAAGCTGGCCCCTACGTTTAAAGTAGATAGCAGAGCCTTGCCCCTGAGATCAGTGCCAGCATTGATCAGATTCCTTTTTTGGTTACTGTTTTGCCCAACTATCTTCTCTTCCTTGGTTTTGTTCTCTGCTTTCCTGCTTTTTCACTTTTCTTTCGGCCTCTTGTTTTTGTTTGTTTCTGCATTTTGCACTACTGCTGCCTCTTGTAGTAGTGGCAACAGGACGTCGTCCTCATCTTTGTAGTAGTAAGAGTAGTGGTCGGCGTACAAGTAGCAGTAGCAGTCGTCGTCATCGCCGTAGTGGTGGTAGTAGTAGTACTACTACCATCAATATCCCCCGTACTACTTTTACTATTGCTGCTGGTGTAATTAATACTACTACTACTACTACTACTACTACTAGTAGTCTACTGCTACTACTGCTACTACTGCTACAGTACCACAAATTTCCACTGCCAGGCCTCGCAATGCTAATTGATAGCAGTTTTTTGCATGTGTTGGCGTTTATCTACAGTGTTTTGTCTTGGTGAATCTGCCCAAAAGCTAAGACCCACAGAAGCCCGCGAAGCACTTCTGAAAGTATTTGACAAATGAGAATCGGATTTAGATTTTGCGTTTTGCGTACGCTGGAAGATCTGCAAGTCATAGTAGTTCCAGCTTTCTGGAAAGTCTTGCCTAGATGCATGCAGTAGAAATTGCGGAATGCCAGAGGCTGAAAGTAGAATTTAGCGTGGGTCATGCAATCTGCGGGCTTACGGAGCACGTGTGCGGTGAAGCCTCCAAAAGGGAAGTGTAGGTGGTAAGCTCGGACCTAACAACGCTTAGCATACAGTGTTCTGACTCCGCTTCAACACGTTCTGCACAAAGCAAATGATTACGACAAAGGTTAAATAGGCTGCAAACCAAAAGGCCTTCATGCCACATTTCCCACTCCAACACACACGCCCAAATAACCAAACATGCAGCCGATCGGCCCTGGACTGGTTCCTGCATCGACCGTTGGGAGGGGGGCGGGTTGCACAACTTGGAGTTGTTACGAGTTGTTGTAGCAAAGAAAATGCAAGTGATGCAGGACCCATCCATACTACCCCATGGTCTACTGTTGACGCCGAGTTTTCATTGTTTTCACGAAGCTTGGAATTACCTGGTACGATAATGAGGGCTGGCTCATCTTTCAGCAGGTGGGGCCAGAGAGTGGTGGTTTCTGGCCTCCGGTTTCCCACATTGCTGGTATTGACTCCCGCAACTTCTTCCGGACCTTGTGCGCCCTGCTGGCACCAAGACAGCAGCATTCGACGAACCCCAGAGTATGCCTGGTATCAGGTATGTGGTTGGCAAGGCAGGCATGGAGTTGCATGCAGAATGGGCATGGGCCCAAGCTTCTCCATTTTGAAATCCATTTCTCTTGGCTGACGTAGACTTGCCTGGCAAAAGAGGCTCAGCAACCGCTTCCAGCATCAACAGGCTCAGTGCTGGTGACAACGAAGCCTAGTCTGAGACATGCATCCCGGCAAAGGCCTTGGTGACCTTACGCTTGCCGGAGGCCTTCCTCGCAATCTCGTGAGACTGACGCTGCATGGCTGCGCTGGCGATGTGTGTAAGAGAAGTATGCGTTCGCTGCTGGCAGAATGTGAATTGCAGACCTATAGCAATGGTAAACGCTTCCTAAAAACAACGAACAAGTCACAATGCACTCAGCCGAGAATTAAGGCTTGATCTGCTGCCTTCAGTAATTAGTTATGGTCTGTTATGTCGATCCACTTGCCAGCCTCATATGTCAGGATACGGTAATGCAAGTGCGAGGTGTTGCAGACTGATGGCTTGAAACTGCGAGCAGCGCTGCAAGATGCAGCTGTCCATGTTCCGCCATCCAAGAGAGCTGTCCCCGCTGAGCTTTGAACAAAACTTCCACGGGTTGATGCTGCTGAGATTCGCGTTCATGACCCCTTTGAGGGTTGCACTCCGTGACTTAAGCGCATGCATCATGTGTGTGAGGCAGGTTTGCTAGGCTTCGAGTTAGCAAGGTCTCATGTTGAACTTGATCTCAACTTGTTTGTCCTTTTCCTCGCGCGGCTAGGTCAACTTTCAAGCTAGAAGTCAATCACAGTGCACAGGCGTAGTTGAAGCAATCGCCACCCCCAGCAATCAGGATCTCAAACCGTGGTCTGACAGATAGCGAGGGCAAGGTGCGGCAAAGTCACAACTGAGGCTCCGCGAGTGTTTCGATTGTACAGGTTTTGCGGATCGCGGTGCGTGGGGTCAGCAAAGTTGGAGCTGAAGGCCGGATTTGCCAGTGACTGCCAGTGGCCATGCGCTCCGTCAAAGCAAATGGCTTTCAGCGAGGCGATGCAGGACTCCTATTGTCGCAGGCCAGCAAATACCGGCAGGTTCAGTGTCAATGCATCTTCCTAAACCCGAAGAACGCTCGGCTCCCCCGAATACCGCAAGTGTGAAGAGAGCAAAACCTGCATTCTACCAGGTTGGCTCCAGTCCTCAGCGTCAGACATTGACTGCCGACGACGGAGTTGTAGCCTGGCAGGCAAGAAAGTCACGTGGATGTGCCTGAAGTATGACAGCGCTGTCTGTATATGAATTTGTGCAGACGACCGCCATCCCGCGCCGTTCTTCCCGGGAGTTTAGCATGTACCTCGCAAGGCCAGAGAGAGCGCACACGTGCTGACGGAGTCCTTGATGACAGCACAACACACTGCAGCAATTGCATCTGCTTTCAGAGCATGGATGTCATGATTTGTTTTTTTGGTCCGTCTAGGGTTGAAGTTGACGTTTTGATCTGGGTCTCATAGAGCAATCCCCGGCTGCTCTCAACGAAATTCGGAGTTTTGTATTTGAAGATGGCGACTTTTGCATGCTGTCTCTTTACCAGACGTTCGACACAAGGAGATCTTTACATGAATCTTGGGTATCTTATGGCACCTTATGGCAGTAAACACACATGTCATCTGCAATGCGGAGATGTCGGCATTCATGCTTTCTCCATCCAGCACTGCTGAGATCCGCATTCATGATCTGAGGTGATATGGTTGTAAACTGATTTCAAGCATTTTTTTCGAGTTCAGACTGCAGCGAGAGCATCCAAATTCAAGAGAGCCTGCGACCAAATTACAACATATTATAACCACGTCTGAGAGCATCCGATGACCTGAGCTTGTGATAAAGTGGCAGCGGCGGTGGCCAGCTTGAGCGAGGGAACTTGGAACGCCCTCCTTGAAGTCTGGCAAAAACACTCCGGCCAGTTTCGGGCTGGTAATTAGTCTGGATCCTCACACGCTTCACTCCTTAAAACACATTCAATGCAGAACATGTTTCACGTCCGCATGGACGCTGGCTGGATGATTTCCAGCTGGAGTCGAGGCTAAACCAAATTGTTGCGCTGCCAGAGCGCCAAGGCTTTCCAGCCTCTCACACAACAGCCCATAGATTGGGGGCTGGGAGTCCTGGCAGGGCTTGCGAGGCCCTGGCGGCCGTTGCGAGTCCAGAAAGATTGGCGGCAGGGTCGATTTTTTGATTTTACTGGGTGAATTGGGTAAATATTGTCTTTACCTCGTTCAGGGAATCAGATACTGTAGGCAGTCTGTTTGACAATACTTTCGATGATCAGTGCACTTTGATTTGTTCTTCAAAGGCTGTAACCCGCAAAGCTGCAGGCAACGGTGCCAGATCTGTCATTTAGCAACGTGTGAATTGGCAGGTCCATGGAGCCTGACGGCCCGAGAAGCCTGCAGACGTGTGTGGCAGAGGCAGCTTAATGCAGCTGAGTAACTTGTCTGCGCGAGATTTTTCTAAGCCCCCCCCGTTGCATACTCCTCTGCCGGGGTTCCGGGGATCGCTCGTGGGAAATCACCTATGAAGCATTCAACCTGTGAAGATGCAACAACATATTCCTTACTCAACATTGATGCGTCCCAATAGATCTTGTCCGCTTCAGCGTGCAACCGCAAGAATATTGCAAGCCAGTCCAGGCCGCATTTACAGGGCTACTGCATCTCTGCATCTTTCTTGATTCCGGTATTCATTGTCATAAACCTGCACTTGCAGGAATCCAAATGCCAGTGCACGGAGCCCTGTCCTCAGCATGATTACAATCCCATGCAAGTCTTAAATGCTTTGGGTCTCCTCCCCCGAGGTTGATCGAGCTGCCTGGCTCCCCACAAGTGGTTTCCAAGCAGCGGCTTGCCAGAAGGAATTCAACGCGGTGTGTGGGATGTGCAGCCAAGCTCTTCTGAAAGTCACAGGTCATCTCGAACAGCTTATGCGCTGCCCGAGGGCCAAAGCCAGTCTGTTGGCCGCAACCTTGGACTTTGCCCCGATCCCCTTTTCTGGAATTTCAGTTCGCTGAGGGGATGCCCTGACCTCGCTTTGTGCTGCTGCTGTTCGTGGCATTGCCGGCGAGATTGGCTGATCTTTTGCTCTAGAATCTTGCCTGAACGAGCAGAGTGGAGCGATGTCGTATCAGTAGTGACATGGTCTGCCAGGAGCACAGCAGAGTCAAGCGCGGGCAACACCGTCCCCTCCAGAAGCTCAGCCTTGATAGAAGGTCATAGCGAGGGCCGTCGTGGTAAGCATCTCAGGCAGCCTTGCCGCCAATGCAAATGGTATCTACGAGGACTTTTGCTGATTCAGATACCGCAAGGGTTGGCCGAAAGACGTCGACAAGGAGATTTCCTTGGCAAAACACCTGATACATCTGAGAAAGCTCCCTGCACTTTGGGTCCACTACAATGACCTAATCTTCTAATGCACAGGAGTGCAGGAAGTTGCACTTGTCAGCAGCAGGATAGCGCAAGAAGAATAGCTCAGGATGGCGGCCCATGCATCCCTCTTCAGCAGCTGTTGAACGAACAGACTTCACAACCAATCTAATGGGGATGTTTGAGCAGTTGCATGACAATACGGGGGAATCTTGCACTTTCCAATAGAAGAGCAGGCAATCTGACCGGACCCACAGCTGCAGAAAATGGAGCGGCCGCGAAAACTTGTATGTCGGTGTTACCCTGACATAACACATACCGATTTTGCATCTCGAGCCAGGACGCCGACAGCAGCGGCCAGCCCCAGGAGAGACCCTCACAAGATGTATTTGCATGATCATTCAGTCATCAATTTGGATGTCATCCTTGCTTGACAATATGGCCCAGCAGAAAGATGAGGCGCAAATGCACTTGGCACTGCCGCAAATAGCAGGAAGGAACGACACATCCAAAAAGGGCAGCAAGGAAGGAGCACTCTCAAGCAACGTGTGCTCGGCCAGAACAGTCGCCTGGCCATTGTGGACACTTATGGGAATGCGGCAAAATACAGCCAGGAAGGGGCAAGCAGTGTCGCACTGCCACGTCGCAAAAGTAACAGCAAAACAACTGGTCCGCTTAACCCTCATCAAACGGTTAGGACTGAAGTCTCAGTGGTGCTGCAGGCCTGTGCAAAGTTTCGACGTGACGGGCCTGACATCCAAACCGCTGGCGCCACTGACTTCGACCCCTGCACAAGGCCATGGGCCGAGCGCTGGTGAGCGCAACAGCAATGGCTAGATTGTCAGGTCAAGCCCCTTTGGGGCAGGACGCTGCATGTGGTAGCTAGCACATTAAGTCGAGGCCGTTCTGCACAAAGCAAAGACAGCTTGAGCAGGACATGGCATTTGCAACTTGGATACTCCTTGTACTGGGTGCCACTTTGGTGGCCGGAGCCTTTGAAGACGGCCCACAAACCTCAAGCTTGAGGGGGTGCGGCCGGCCGAGGCTATGTGCATGTGCATGGCCATGCAGCCCTTCATCATGCCGCGGAGAGCTTCTTGGTTCAATTATGCCCAAGCTACGTGTAAATGCTTGACAAGGAACCTGACTCTGTAAAAGGAGAGTTAGTCGGTTCTTGCTGGGAGTTGGCAGGTTGCTAAGCGAGCACCATCCGCGATTGACTACGAGCAAATTCCCGGCTTGCAGGCCTTGCTCCGGGACAATGACTACGAAGGATATTCCCCAACTAGCGAGATGAAGCAAGCCTTTTGAGAATTAATTGTTGTCTGCTAGTACGCGCAAATGTAGTCACGCATGCATATGGCATACGGGTTGTGCAGAAGGGCTTCGCGGAGCAAGCAAAGATATGTGCTGCGTTGTACTGCCTTTGTGCGCATGGCAGGTCTCTCGACCTGACGAGGACAGAATACCTTTGGGTGTAGTCTTGCAATCCCAACTGAGACACTATTTCAAAGCATTTGGAAGCAATTCAGGGTGTTAGCATTGGAATGGCGCGCAGAGGAGTTTTGTATCGAGATTTGAGGCAGCATCCTGATACTACTAGTCACTAGTTAGATAGCTTAAAGCTCATCTAACGAATGTGTCTTGATATATAGGCGTGGCACAGAAGCTTAGAGGCTCGAGCCATGCAGAGTGCGAAATATGTGCAGAGACGGACGCGGACAAAGCGATGCTCGAGGCTCCAAGTGCTTGGATTCCTCGCCTTTGGAACATTTCTCCACCAAACCTTTGTGCCGAGCGTGATGCCTAGAAGGCCACATTTTCTCGTGCCAATAGCTGTATCGGTCACACCGCTGCCTGCGATGGCAGACATGGAAGACATGCCTGGTGTGGATCCTGGCTTGGCGCTGTCTGTCTTGGCTGTTCTCGGGGCCGCAGCTGGAGGCCTCTCCTGGGTTGCCAGTCTAAAGCCCCGAGAAACGAACGAAGGGCAGCCTCGGTCTACATCCCTTTATCGTGTTTTTCAGGCAAAGATGCGAGCTGGTGAGTTTGCTGAACTCGCTCCGAAATCTGATGGCAAAGACCAAGAAGATGCCTCGTCCAACGGCGACGGTGATGAGGAACTGGATGCATTTGTTGATGCTTATGTGGATGGACTTGAGGATGACATTGATGGCGAAGGAGACTTTCTGGGCCAGGAAGGCAGAGGGCCTGATTCTGGCAAACCTGGGTCCATGGACGACAGGAAGAAGGCGTAAAACGCCTTGCATCGATTTTCACCTTGGTTAATGGCCCTGCGCTTGAGAACTAGATTCGGCGCACATCAAAAATGCGGGTACACGATTGACAACCTCGAGTTCTGCCTTTGCTAGGAAGTTGCACATGGGTTTCGTTCAGGGCCTATGCTTTTAGATCAGCTGTCTGTCGAGGCGGGCCCAATGTTGAGAACACTGAGTTTGAAAGCCTGCCGACCTCGAATCAATCGTTATGCCCCTGGATGCTTCTTGCTAGGACTCTGATGAGCTGGGCTGCAGTCGTCAGGCCCCGCTCGCACTCTCCAGCTCATTGTAGCTCCACCAGAGACCCTGTTTTGAAGGCTTGTCGCTTGTCCGGTCAACGAATGGAATCAGTCAACCTCACCGCTTGTCTCCAGCGATTGTTGCTCACAGGTACTTATCTCCTACTTTATTGTTGGAGGGTTGTCACAAAGGGTTAGTAATGCGAAAGCATGTAATGAAACAAGATGGATGAGCATGTTCAGGTTCTCTGGGCAGACAAAGCATTATTGGTTCGCTGATTGGAAGCGCCGACTTGATCAGATTCGCTTAGCAGTCTGTCTGGCTTGGCAGATCGGTCTCATGTTGTGCCGCAGTGCATTCGTCGACCCACCCACATGGCACGAGGCACCACTGTTCCACTCACGATGCTGAGACAGAGGGCCTAGACCCATGTGCTTGCTCTGAAGGTTCCTGCAGAGTACCTTGCACAGTGAACAATGGCTGCCAACGGTCGCTGGCGTCATCTCCAAAAATCACACCACGACCAGAAGAACTCAAGCGTGAGAGAGGGAGCCTTTTGATGGATTTTCAGGGGTCCATGGGAAGTCCATGATATGAGCCTAGGTGTGGATGCAGGAGAAATAGCTCATCGGGCCACTCGAAACTTGTGATCGTGATAAACGACCCAAACTCACATAGGGCAATGGCCCGCCTGCCTTGCCTCACAGCAGTGGCCTTGGGAATGCTAAACTGAGCTACCCTCCATCCAATCGAGTTGCCCCATTGTGGCAAACCATCCTGAGAAATCTTCGAAAAGCATCCTTGTAAGCATTTATACAAAAAGCATCGAGGGCGGAAACGGTCAAGGTATACAGCACATGTGACTCGTCACTGGCTTTTTTCAGGAGGAAGTGCAGAAACACCTCCAAACATCTCCAAACCATTTAGCACCACAAATTCATGAACATAACTCAACTTGCTGTATTGCGCATCTCTTCAGCACATCCTTCCGATTTGCTGAGAATTGCGTTCCTTTTTGTGCCAAGACCACGCACAAATCAAACCTTGGCAAGTTCTTACGCTTTCACAAAAGCACGCCCCATGACTTGAACATCATTCCGCCGTGCAATGCTGCAGGTGTGACGCCATGAAGTGAAGGCTTCGCTGTTTCACTTATTCCGACCTGCCTAACGTGCGGGCAAATAGTCTGCTTGCCTGATGCTGATTCTCAGCATTGCATGAAGTTGCATGTTCGGAGGTTCCGGAGAGGGTTATGTTGCAGCTTCAGGTCAGTGCTTTGGCTGAGGGAATTCGGTTCGGGGCCCCCACATTCAGCTTGCGCGCGCCGTGCAATCTGGGTGGAGGCGCGGTTCTACGATTTCCATGAAGTCATGTTGGCTGCAACATGTGCTTTGTCCTGGCCAGGGCAACCTGTATAATGGTAAACGAAAAAGATGAGAAGGATGCTGGGAGCCTATGTGTTTTTGTGATCACATACTATTACATGCAGGTTGGTTTGGCGCATGACCGTCCACTTTTGCGATCTCTCACAAACTTTCCTGGAGGGCCATGACTGATGCACCTTGTGATGAAGAGGGGAGGACTGTTCTCGGCGCTTTTTGAGGCCGTAGCCATTTCCGTTCCAAGCAAGGGCGGCGAGCCGACGGAGGATCTGGATGTTTTAGATGCCACATGTGTTGCAGGGCAGATAGACGAAGCCAAAGTGGAGCCCTGACAGGCTAAGAAAGACGGCAACAAGAAAAAAAGTCTCAAAGAGAAAGAGGAGGAGCAGCCTAATGAATCTCAGGCTACCCGAGTTTGGGTAATCCAGGGCCTCTTTGTCCGAATTTGGCAAGTACGTGACTGCTACTGACTGGAGATGTGTTTAGTACAGTTGTGCCTGGACAGGAGCTTTCGGAAGAAGACCGACAGAAAAAAGAAGAGCTGGAGCTCCTTGTGCAGAGAGCGCAGGACTGACAGATCAGCATGTTACGCAAAGATCCACAGCATTGACGTTGTACAAGCACATGCGATGGTGCATGAGACGCTCGAGTTTAGAGAACAACCGCAAATGATTTGGATTTCAAACCTTTGTCCCACAGTCAAGGGTAACATCCCACTTAGGAACAGCATGGAACTGCAGACTTAGCAGGTCAAGGTTGAGCTGGCACACGCAGTAATTAACTCGATGCAGGCTGAGTCGAATGTTACACAGGGTGCACAAGAGTTGGCCGATTTAGATTTAGATGCGATGCGCTGCTACCGAGTGGCCGGCAAAATCTTTGGGTCTTTGGGCCCCTCTTGCAGCAGCGTGCCTTTGCCGTGCAGTTTGCTTTGATCTCTGTGCAGCTCTGCGCAAGTTCTGCGCATCTTGCATGCTGAGGATGCTGCCACGCGAGCAACGCGATTAACCAGGCGAAATCTTCAGAAGCTTGGCTTGGCCACCACCATGGCAAGTGGCATGCCACTCGGCCAACAAATCCAGGTAGCAGCTGACGACGCTTGAGCTCACTTCTCATTACTTCAAGGTCCTGGATGACTGTCAAGTCGTTGTATTGTGACACAGACGCTTGGCGATTGTGGCTTTTTCACGGTGCATGCAAGGGTGCTTTGTGCAAGAAAACATTCCTTGGCTCAAAGCAAGGATGTGAAGCTCACCACATACAATGTTTTGTCGCCGCGTCTGGCATCACCTCAGCAATATCCAACCTATGCACGCGAGGACTGATGAGGTTTTGGAGCTGAAGATTGTTGATCAAGTTGTATCCATGCATGCCGTCGTGCATATCCTGGAATACAGCTTCCTGCACTGCGGAAGGGGGCTGCGTGTGTAGCAATCTGCAGGATCTGGCGAAAGATTCGCGTTGGCCGCGAATTCTGCAGCGAATGCAGAAGGCCGTGGACGACGGGAGGATCATTGCACTGCAGGCCGGGACCTGCCGTTGTGTCAGCTCTCGCAGCGCAATCAGAGAGCAGCTGTGCAAAGAAGCTGCAGTTGCAAGCAACATCAAGCAACCTTGCTACTTGCAAAGGGTCTTCCGATGCCCAAAGGGAAACCACCATGAGAGAAGGTTTTCGCAAGGCGGGTTGCCCCCCTAGATTTTTCATCGTCTGTCACCTAAAGTGAATCCTGATCACAGTGGTTCCCGTTTCAAGGTGGGGTGCAGGTCTCTGGGATGGCGCTCCCGCGAGGAGCATCACGCTCCATGTTCTAGTCTCCGCCCACTGCTCCTGCGTGGAACGTGCCTGGAATGCCTTCGAAATTCGGCTTGCGCATCGTGCTGACGGGGCTCGCATAACGGCCCTTCACGTGGCGTCCTTGGAATGCACCTTTCAGACGCACTCGTGTGTAGAGCATTCTTAGATTCCTGCGACGAATCATGTGGAAATCCGGTCCAACTGGTTCTCCCAGCCCGAACCCATTCGGCCACAGGCCGTCAGCCCAATCCTTAGACCTAAAATTTTCACTCCTACCGACACCTCGCTGCCCTACACCTACGCCTGCAGTCAGACTGGTTCATGAGTCTTTCCGGGATGCAGGGTTGAGGGTGGTGAGAAATGCAGAGGTTTTGCTTCCCTAATGCGATCAGTATCACCGTTCTTCGCGCGCGGTGCGTCTGACGTATGCTAACTTGACGTTGCTTGTCCACATCCGGCTTCCTGGCCCCTACCCAGTATCAAGTGTTCAGTTTCAGAGCTGAGGTGTCAGGAGGTGTCAGGATGTGTCAGGGGATAATCCTTGTCAAGGGCGGCTTCTGCCAATTTGGAAGCGCAGAGCTGGGATTCTTGTATGCCTGTAAGCTGTTAGATGCGGTTCGGCTAGTGGATATGTACTGGAGCGTCTCCTGTCCGCGGCTACTTCCTGCCTACAACCCATCCAGACCTCAGCAGTGCAGCTCACGAGCGACAGTGCATCGGAGCACATGGTCTTTGCAACTCACTCACAAGCCAACAAGCGCATTGGTTGAATGTGTTTTTATTAGTTGTTTGGGAATGTTTGGCAAGTTGTTTCAAGCCTTTGAGCTTTGCTGTCAGAGCGTAGACTTAATTTCGTTGAAGAGCGAAAGCCAAATAGTTCTGGCTTGGCCATTAGCAACAGTGGCAACTCTGACTACGTATGGTAGGTTGCTGAGCAATTTGCGCGCTCGCTGGCTTGTAGAAAAGCAAAAAAAGATTTCGCACAGGCCGCGTCACAGATGCTTATTTGTGCATTGGTTGTTTGAGGAGGTTGACCTCGAGTGGGCAGGGAAACTGAATACGTTCTTCGTGGAGCGTGGCTATGCCGTGGTCTTTGCCCAGTATGGCTTCAGCCTGAGAGCACTTACAGATGCTTGAAGAGGGCGCATAACATGTCTCTTTTCACTAAGGCAAACAAATGAACGGTTCCCAAGCTGCATGTGGACATGGCCAGACCTCTGAGAGTTTTTCTGCTGCGTGTTGCATGTTACCAGCAGGTTATATGGGAGTTCTGATGGCGTGGCCGACGCAAACCTTTGAGGCTCCAAGACAACTGGTCAAAGCCAAGCGACTGAGTGAGATAGAATGCATGAGGTCCGCGACATCGAGATTTGCAGGCTGTCTGATACAGCACCAAAGCGTGTTTGGCAAAAGTCTGATGCCCCTGCCCCTCGTGTGGCTCGATTCGGGTACTTCACCTACCAGGGTCTGACGGACGGGCTTGCAGTGGCTGCTTTCATGAAAATCTCGACATGGGACGTCAAGTGTCATGAACCGCAGGAGATATTGGGATGCCGGCCTCCTGAAGTAGAAACGGATGTAAGTGCCGAAGGGCAAGAATGGAAGCTTGCTCAAAGCCGCTACTTGAGTGAATTTGGATGTTGCTCCTGATGCGAGTTTTCTGTTTGAGGATCATCTAACACCCCACACCGTGTCTTTCCGCTAAATGTCTGGACATGTTCGGTGAGCTTTGGATTTCAGCCCTTGCTGGCACCAGCGTTCCATCCTAATGGCCCTTCCTAATAGCTGCAGGCATGAATGAGCCCATCTTCGTCAGACTCAGACCGAGAGGAACAAGCTGTGATTTTTGCGTTGGCACATATCATATGCCTTGTCTCTTCGGCAACTCTTTTGCAAGATGGAAGCTGACCTGCGTTAGCCATTGCCCACTCTTTGGCCTTGACGCTGCACTTCAGAACAAGCAGTGTCTGGTGAGTGAGGCAGCACTGAGAAAGTAAGAGCCGTGAACATTCACAGCCAGCTTTTGCTCAACAGGTGCGCTCCTTATGTTGTGAGACAAGGGCTTTCTGTTTTCCTTTCCGATGCAACCGCATGTTGTTCCTGCTGTGTATACCTGAGGTTGAAAGAGTTTGCTGCGGCCGATGTCCGAAAAGGACAGCTTGACAAGAAACCAGTCACCGAGAAGAAGCAGGCGAGTAACGGCAACATGCGGAGATGCTTCTGACAGGTTTTCAGGAAGCGCCGGTTGCGCTGATGGGCGACTTCAATATCAAGCCAGGCATGACTTTCTTCATCGTGGAGCTTGGGCCTGCATCCGATTGTTGTGCCGCTCGTCCCTTCAGGCACCTCTTCCTATAATCTGATCGAAAGCGGTGGATCCCTAGCAAGTGTCTCAAAGCAGGCGCAAATGTAGGAAAGTTGGCATGGTGCACTGCATGTTGAGTTGAATTGTTTCACTGACCTGCAGGGCTGCAGTCATGAAGTCGACGGCCTGGAGCAGCTGCCAATCACGCAGTTCCCTCAAGGTCTGAAGAGTGCATACAAGGACGGCCAGCCTAAGCCAAGGGTATGCAGACGTTGTCGCTTGGTTTGTCCTGTAGCTTCTGAGGACTTTCATGGACAAGAGCCGCTGTTTACAAACTATGCCCTTTCCGGGATGAGCACGGAGGCATTTGTGGACACTCTCGCCTCCAGGCAGTTTTGGGTCGAGAGGAGTCAATGTGCAAATAGTTTTGCCAGGAGTTCTTGATGCATTCTTGATGATTTCCTTGCCTCCGCACGTACTGAGGATTACATCTGGTTTAGTCCAGGGCGCCTCAAGGTAGTTGCGTGTTGCTTGGCAGCATTGCCCAGAATCATGAGTCACGCTCCGCCGGGCAGTGAATTGAAATATCTAAGGCCAGCAGCTGCCTACAGGGAAAGACAAGGTCCACGGACCCTTTCCCAACGCGGAAGAACCATCTGATCATCTGCCCCTGCATGCGACATTGCGCCTTTCAGAGGCTGAGGCGGATGCGGCTTCCTGATGGCTGAGCCTTCAGAACCATATCTCCCCAGACCTTTCCATCAACGACAAGTAGGAATGACCTGAACTGAACCAAGTGGTCGGTCTTCCCATGCTTTGAGCGCAGTTGGGGTAATGATCGTATGCCATTCTGGTCATGCGAATGGAGCATCGATTTGTTGTCGCGGAAAAAGTTTGCCCGCATAGTGAGTTTTTCCGGGTAGTCAGGCAGAAAGCTGTTTCTAGTCTCTCTCTCCTTCACATAACTCCCTCCCCCTTTCGCTCCCTACAAAGGCTTTATCCCTGAGGTGGAGGGAGTACACTGGCATGTCTTGCTTTGAAGGAAAGCACTCACTGGGCCTGGGATGGCAGGGCTTGACATCTTTGTGGAGAGGTAGGAAGATGTGGAAGACGCCTTACAGCAGTGCGCCTTGCAGGATTCTGACCAAGGCGTGGCCAAAATGGCAATGGAGGCATTGGCAACTGCAAACGCGACTGCAAAGGGCTCTCCTGCAGAAACATGCCTCCAGGCGATGGTGAAAGAGCTCAAGGAGTCCACCAGTTCAATGACCTCAGCAGGGACCTCAGGAGCAGCTGCAGTTCTGCAGCGGTGTCCTCCTTTCCCCCGCTGCGAGGTTCCAAAGCCCTTGAAATTCCTGCGACCGCATTACTCCACGCTGACGGAGCACTATGCCAAGGACGGCCAATGCATTTGCTCCATTTTCGGCAGGGTGTGCCTTAGGAAAACATTCTCCACCCATGACGCAAGGCTGATACAATCTGAAATAAGAAACAATTGGAACGCAGCACCCAGGATATGGGCAGGAGTCCTGCTAACCAGACATGCAAGTGTTGGCAACGCTAATGCGGCATGCAAGTAGGCATTCGTCGTTCGAAATCACTCGTAGTGAGGACGTGGCCATTGTCCTTCTGGGTATTCAGTAGTCTTTCTGTCTTGTCCTCGCGACTGAGCCATGAACACCTTTGTGCATCCTCCTGGAACCAACATGACCAACTAGCTACCGCAGGGCAGTGAGGTGCATTTTATGATCCCTATGGCTGCAAAATCTGACTTCCCTACCGTTTATCACAGCAATCTTTCCTGGGGTTGTCATCTGCCAAATGCGATCTGCGCAAGAGCTGTGGTTTGTGGGAGCTTGCTGCTTGGGAAGCCTTCTCTTCGGACAGATGCCGGCGAATGACTTGAAGCGATTCTTTGCTGATGTCCTATCCATCCTGTCAACCACCATGCAAAAGGAAGGGTTGAGACCTTACACGATACAGCAAAGTAGCGAGTATGTCTGCTCCGGTGCAATCAAAGCCAAGGTCAAGACAAGCGCTGAAGTATCGACTAGAAGGAACGAAAGAAGGTCTCACCAGCTGGGGTTGGAGCCTGAGAGACAGCAGTTCGAATTGCATCTCTGTCAGTCTCTTTGGCTGAGGCCATGAGTACATTCGGAATATTGCTGGTGAAATTGGGGAGGCCGGGCAGCTTACAGCTTGCCAGCACATTGTTTTCGTTCACATGCAAACTCTCGTTACGACATGTAGATCGACCCAGGAATTCAAGGAACGCACAGAAAAGACCGCGGATGTGAGCGACCTCCTGTCACTTGTTGAGGCCTCTTCTGCCAGAAGCACATGACAAAACAGCTCAACGTGGTACCTAGCTTTCCTGGCTTCCTGGGATCACCATTGCCAGGAGATTGTACCCTTCAACATGCAGCACAACGCCGAAGTCGTGCTTCCCTCTGATAGAACAGTGGTAATGTGGATGCCTGGAACTAGCCAACATACAATTGAGCGACATGCGCAACATGAACAAGCCTGAGCTTTGACTAGTAGAGGGTGAGGGCGAATCCCTCAGGACGCTGTTGATCTTCTTTGTGAAGTTGATCAAGTGCAGACGTGCTGCTGGCCAACTTGACATGCATGCGTAGCAGTCCTTACTACATCTGTCGACTTCACGTTCAAATCTGTGCACATCAATTACAGGTTATTCCAATCCCAGCATCACTTTCTCGAATCCCTACCGAAAGGCCTCAACGATCCATGACTCAAATGACATCCGTATTTTCAAATCGGTGCAAACCTCTGCAAACCCCTACCCATTTTTCTCTCAAATCCATTCCTTAGTTCTCTCAATTTCAGCGTGTCCCGGCTTGTTTGTTCCCAAGCGCCTTTTCCCAAACTTTCTCAGATCCCAATGTTTCTGCTGAAGTTGCTTCAAATCCGGCGCATGTCACAATGTATGGCTGGAAGACATCTGAGCTGTTGTTTTTCTACAGTTTGGGTTGGCTGTTTATAGTGTAGTGCAGAACATGGCCAGGATAGAAAAGCTATGCGAAGAGCCCTCGTTCGGCAGAGCCAGAGCCTGAGCTTTTTGCAATGGCACGCGTACCTCATAAGCAAGGCAGGCTCCGCGTGAAGCCTGCTTTGAAGCTTTGTGGCTTCCCCCTCCTTGTCTTTTGCGTTTTTGTGGCTCTGCTCATTCCATTCCCCCGCCCAAAGGTTGTAGAATCTTTTGTGGAGGTCTGCTTGTACCTGCAGGGCCTTGCCAACTTTGCAGCAACTCAGGCCGGAGAGAAGCTTCCGTCCAGGGAACCAAGAACCTTAAGTCACTTAAGTCATGACCCTGAGATACTCAGGGTCTGAAGGCAACTAGAAGAGCTTTTTTCAACGTTCAACGGTCCTGCTTTCTAGAAGGGTTGGTCAGCATGGATGCCCAACTGACCTTCCGTCATCATCGGAACAGGCAGACAAAGTAATGTACTTGCAAGTCTGCATGAACCTGTACTTGAAGTACAAGGACTGCCCGTTTGTTCCTCATGCTTCCATTCTGGGTACGGTATCGCAGAAGGTGCGCTTATAAGGCGTTTCATTCTGCCATTTGCTTCAGGAGTACTTCGGCGCACTTCGAATCGCCTTGAAGCTTAACGATGCAAAGGCTGTTGCTGGTGTGTTTGGTGCTTGTGAAGCCTTTGCCTCGGTGTTTTCTAGCCTGGGCATGCCGCGAAGACTGCACTGATTGCAGCATCAAAGCTTCTCCGAGGACCGGCTCGTCCAGAAGCAGCTGGCCTTCATGTGCTTTGGCTTGATTCAGAGAAGAAGTACTCGTAAGAAATACGCATGAATTGAAAGTGTCGGGTTCCTTTCGTTCGTATTCGAGCCTGTTGTATGGCCAGGATATCTCGCAGGAAGTTCAACCATGACTTTGAGGAGGCATTGCTATGCAGTGAGTCAGCCGCAAGAAACGACAATTGGCTTATTCAGCTTCGGAGGATGATGAGCTGAAAGAGATCGCCTCTGGTGAGAGCCTCTCCAAGCACTTCATCTCCTTGGCCAAGGTGCACCGCAAAGCTGGAAAGCCTCAAAGCGGCACGAAAAAAGAAGTGCAAATTTGCTCTGTGAGGAGCTGGATGTCCTGGAGCCCAAGCTTCCTGAACAAATCTACAAGTCGCATTTGGAGGCCGTTTCTGAACAAGTCGCGTTCTTACGCTTGTTACTGTAGCTGCAGACCAGCAAGAGAACAATTAAGTACCTGGGTTCATTTCGATTATGCAGGTGAACGGGCAATCAGCCAAGCTTTCAAGTCTCAACCGTCTTTCCTGGTGGGAGCTACCTGTGTGTGTTGGAAGCGTTGGAACTTTCCAGCGCACAAGTGCGGAAGGGCAAGCCATGGGCTTGAGGCGAGCATGAAATAATTTCCTCCAGCGTGCTGTGACGAAATCGGGGGCATCATCATCGTCATCATCATCATCATCATCAGCGTTTCAGCTGTTGGTGGCCGCGTATTCGACGGCAACTAGTAAGAGTTCGTGAGTTTCGCGGCCAGCTGGAGGCAACGTGACCAGGATGTGCCAGCACAAATCAAAGGCTTTCCGCGCTGCAAGAGTGCCAAAGCCAAGGCGAGTCTCGTGGTACCTTGGAATCCTCGTCTGAAAGATGCCATCATCACAGCGGCGGCATCTCGTGAGGGCTGGCGTTGTTTCGAACTTTTCTTCCTGTGTTGCATCAGGGTCGCCACTTGCAACTGTGGCTGCAATGCTTGGATCCTTCTGGTGGTTGAAAAGTTTTGAGCATCACAGGGATGAGGCGACCTTACCGTTGCATCTCTTGTCATGTGTCGTGTTGGGTTTTCCTCACGCATGTCAAATCAATTCAGATTGTGTCATCATGTTATGCTCGTTTGTCGGCTTGTGTGCTCTTATCGCGTCTCCAATCCACGTCTTGTAGAGCATCTCGTACTTTCTTTTCATGTCTTGTCATTGCACCTCATTGCACCTGAGCAGGAGAAACGCTCTACAGCTGTCCTGGATTCTGCGAAGCAGAATTTGGCGTCTTCCTTCGTGAATGCGTTCGTCAATGCTGGCTTCTGCAAGGCCACGGACTACAAGCAACGTGATCGTTTTGCATGGGCTGAATTTGTAAATGTGTCTGGGTTGACGCAGGACGAGCTGATGACGATTGCAGACTCAAAGTGGGTCTACAAGAACAAGGCTGTCCCTAGCTGGACTGAACCAGGTCATAAGGCTTGTCAAGTTAAGTGATGCGAGGACCAGGGCATGATGAGTACGGTGGGCTCCCTGGGAGCGTTGCTGCTCTGGGGGATCGACGAGGGCCTCACTCAGATTGACAAGTGCCCTGACCCAGGGACCTGCCAGCTGGAAGTCAGGACAAAATGTTCCTGAAGAGGTACCAGTGGAGCTCTGATGTGAACTTGAAGGCCTTCAACTCGTCGCTGGCCATACCTCCCAAAACCAATCAGAAGCCGAATCTAGGCTGGTGCGCTGCTAGCCTTCGGTCTGGTGACTTGCGGGGCCTCAGCCTCAAGAACATGCAGGTAAGAAGAGGCCTGAAATGGGAAGCCGATGCTTGTAGCAAGAGGTGAAGAACGAATGTGATCCTGCGTGGGCACTTCTTGGTGAACAGCTGGAGGCGGAGGCCAGGCAAATGATGTTCAGACCTCACGCTGCTCAATTCTCACGTGGCCTGCGACTGAAGGATGCGCAGCTGCGGTTAGCTGCAGTGGTCGGCCTTGGGTACGCATACGCAGGAAGCTGCCGAGAGGACACCCTGACAAGTCCCTAAAAACTGCACGTGTGGAGGGGGGAAACAACAAGACCGTCTTATCTTTCCTGTGTAAGGACTTGCTGGAGAATCTGACTCCAATGATCGTTGACACCGTGTCAGCCTGAGTCGGGTGACATCGAACATCGCAGCTGGTTGGTGGCAGGGGCACGTCGCTAAACATATTACAATTGCAGTTTTGCGGGGACTCACGGGCCTTGCCCAAACTGGAATTGCTGTTCCTGACGGTTTTTGACAAGATGTTTTGTGTAGGGCAGATGTGGGAAGTCTGACTAGATGCTTTAGGGCGGAAACCCTCCCACAGCCGCAACCAACTGTAGACGGCTCCCGCAAAACCAAAATGAGCGTCGTGGTTAACAGGAAGGCATTGAGACAAATTGGGGAGCCCCTGGGTGTCCGTACTGAGGCCTGTAGCATTGAATGCTCAGCCATGGCGGCAGTCAGCTTGGGTCTGGTCTTTGTCTCTTCGTGCAACGATGAGGTTGGCTCCTGAGTCATCACGCACAGATTTTGAGACAGCTGCTGGAAGGTGGCGCAAGCAATTCTGCAAACGCTGATCGAAAGACAGGCATGTTTCTGTGTTGTTCACGATTGCTGCCGACCCATGAAAGCAGCTTGACAATGGTGCAGGCCGTGGAAAATGCATTGAGTGGTACCTGGCCCCACTTTTTTGCAGTAGGCTTAGGCCATGGGCTCGGCATTTGTCAAGGAGTTGTCAGGTGTTGTCATGATGTGGTTTTGCATTGACACGCAGGTCTTCTGTACTTGGGCCAGCAGGCCTGATGCTTTAAAGACACGTGTCCGCGGACTGGTGCATGTCAACGCATCCAGGATGCTGCTGAAGCCACTCTGTCAGCCCTGGATGCAATTACGCACCCTGTGGGCAAGTACGCAAAGCTGACTGTGGAAGGACTGCCTCTAGCGCAGTGCCGGTCTTGCTGCTGCAATCTTAGACGTGTACCTGGATGGGATTTCATGATCGAAAGGCTTTGCCTTTGCATACTCCGGCGACGTCCTCCACGTGCAGAAAATGTAGTAGCCACAGAACCCATGAGCAAAGAGAATGCTGGCGGGCCGTGACGTGCAATGCTGCAATGCTTGAAGATTGCTGCAGGCTGCAGGCGTGCACAGACCACCTCGAAGAGGCTGAAGCCTTTCACCAGGCTGTCCTCGTGATGGAGATGCATCTCAGCACTGTTTTCCTTTCCTGCTTCAGGCAACTGCCGTGCTTGGAATAGCTTTGATTGCTTTTGGTGAAGAGATCGGTGCCAATCCAAGTGACATGAATCCGGTGGCAGCTGTGTTCATCTTCCAGCCGCCTGCCTTGGCACAGCCAGGTGCCGAAATGGCGTGCAGATCTATTGACCACATACTTCAGTATGGAGAACTGACGCTCAGGCTCCAATGATCTATCATGACGTTGCGCAGCCTGTCAAACATTTGCCAACAGTAGCCGATGTCAGCCGCCCCTAGTTTTTGCGGCATCTGTTCGTGCTGTTGAGTAGTGATGCCATGTGACGCCTTTTCATGCATTCTCTCCATCGATTGAGTCAAGGATGGGGAGCGTAGGCTTGTGGCTATGTCGTCTGCATAGTTTCTGCAGTGTAGTCCGAAAGCGAGTGAGGAGGCGCCACACATTTGGGCAAAGTACCTTTGTCATATTGCAGCTGCGTTTCAGCTGCATGCAACCCTGAGCGGGAGCTCCATCTCACGGCAATCAACATCTTAAGATCTGAAATCTGAGTGGGCGCGATAGCATTGAAGAGTCGCGTCGCCTGCCAAACTCCAATCAACATCTAGCAGAAGATCAAGCATCAGCGAGTTGACTGAAACCATGTACCCAAAAGCTTTGTAACCCGAGAGAGAAACTCAACAGCGAAGGCTTGGAAGTTCAACTAACATTTTGTAAAGCTGAGGGACATCTTTCAGGCGAGGGCGTCAATTTTTTGACTGTATTCTCTTCATTAAGTGTTACCAATCGCTCATCTTTCGTCGTACTGATTCGTAGCACGAGTTTTGTTGCTGCCTGCCCTCGTTTCCTGAAGCTCTGTCCGAAGCATGTTGAAAGGTAGGACAACTCAGTGCAACAAAGACGCGCTTGAAACGTGTAGCATTGCCCGGCCGCTTCCCCTTGAATCAAGTTGTTTTTGCAGGTAAGCTTGCGTGTAATGGCACGTTCTGATCTACAATATGATCCGTATATGACCTTGCGTGAAGGCGAGCTGTCCCAATTGCCTTGGCAATCCTGCACCTGTCAAATCCGAAGGCATGGGGCTGTTCTTGGGCTTTCTCTGTGTGCACTTCCCTCCAGTCAGGTGCTTGTGATTGACACCCTCGCCAAGCTGTCACACGACGCAGACCAGGACAGCCTTGTTGACTGCTTTGCTACTTGTACAAGCTGCTCTTGCAAACCAGGGCCGCTGTCCCTTCAGGATGTGGCTACTGGCGCAATCATGAGTATGGGTCTGATAGGCCAGCCCAGTGGCAGTTTGGTCTTGGAGTCTGCGGGTTCTGCATCTTGGCGTCATGCACCAGAAGTGGGCAGGTGCCGGCACAAACAACGCCCGGCTGGCAGGCTTGCTGAGGCACGAGGGATCACCAACCATGTCGTAAGCAGGTCTCAGGTCCTGGCTGGCAGTGTGCAAAGTCTGCAGGCAGCTGGCCGCATACTATGCGAAAGACCCCAACGCGCTGTTTATGGTCAGAATTGCCCAGGGTGACTTGCCCAAACCATGTGGTCAGACGTTTTGCTGGGCTTGTGTGTATACAACCTGGCCTCCTCACACGAACAGGACAATCAATCGCACACAGGGAGCCCCGCCACAGTTTCTGTGTCATGCCAACAGACAGCTGTCTACCTGCTCAAGCATTCATGGCCTCGACTGTCATCGACCAGCGCAAGTCAATGCAGAGAACCTCGTTTGCCTAGGAGAAGTGTGCAACACAGCTGAGGCCTTCTGTACATGGGCAAGGGCCTGCTCACAATTAATCCCCTCTTTAGCGATCGCTTCTAAGCTGCACGGAGGGAACTGTTGTACACTTTTTCGGCAGCACGTGGTTGTCATGGCTGTCAATTGTTTTGAAGGTTACCTGGTAGATCCGGTTGCGTTTGGCTCTCTCGCGGTGCTGGTCAACTCCTTAGACGCTGCTGCGAGTAGCAGAATAGCCGCAAGTGCAGATTGCCACAGCTGGCACCGGCATGCACCGGTGAAGTGAAAACGCCGAGGCGCACTCGGTGTTGCACCTCAAGCCACTTGGCGCGAAGCGCGCATTAGACTCATGCAAGCTGACAGCACTTGCCAAAAGCTGGGCCAAGGAATACCATTCTAGGCAAAAGCCACTACTTGCTTTACAATGTGGTCCCGGCCATGCGACCAAGATGGTTGATAACTGTGGACGAGGATCGAGTCCACTTTTGGAACTACTGCGCGTCAATTTGCCATGCATCCCTGTGTGGGTCAAGGACATGAACGAGCTCAAAGTGGCGGTGCGCGTAGGTCAAGCAGTAGATGTGACCCTCTTGGCACTTCAGAAGCTGTCCTAAGCTCAGCTCGCATATGCCTTGGCCAAGGTGACTGGCATGGCTGGTCGTCCGAAGCAGATCACAGGCTTCCAGACCAGAACCACTCCAGTTCTTCTTAACTTTCAGGCCTGGCTCATGTTGTCGAGATGTGAGGGCTGTTTGGAGTTTGCAAAAGGGTGCAGCAATGTAGGACAGAGCGGAGCTGGCAACAGAAGAGTACCTGCCAGTCACACCTGGAACCATCTTGGAGGACTTGCTATGCACAACGCAGGTTTGGTACTTAATCTGATCATCCAACCATTCACTGGGTGGAGGATTTTGTGATCCTGAAGAAGAATCCGAATTACAAGCCTGCTACCGGAGCTGCGTAGCCGGGTCTGGTCAATGTATGCTGGCTGTAAGGCACACAGACTTATAGAGGGAAAACGATCCTCCTGCAAGGGGCTTTGTGTATATGATGCAGACTACTGACTACTAGTACATCTCGCAAGGAAGTCGGGCAATGGTGCTAGCCTAGGTCTCAAGTGGCGGAGAAAATAGTTTTTAGTTGAGATATATGAATATATGAGCCCAGAAGATGAATCGCTTTTTGCTTGCAACATCTTGTGACCTGCTGGGCGGCACCAGAGCCACGCCACCATCAGACCCAGCGATGCAGACAGAGCATAGTTCTGTCCTATCGGCCAAAAGCACTTCAAGACGCAGTACTTCTGCTTTGCTGCTGAAGCTCCGCGTCCAAGAGTGCAAGCGTGCCAGCCCGACTAACAAGATGAAACACTAGAGGAGTCCTTCACATCAGCTCAATTGAAACGGCATTTGGCTTAGATTTTAGAGATCGAAGTTGGCAAGGTATCTGTAATGGACGGTCAAATTTAAGTCTAGCCCCAACATAGTGTAGCACACAGTATCATCTCACACCAACATTTAGCTGAGAGCAGGCAGCGGCCCACACCGCCAGCATTCAATTCATCAGCACCGGCGCAAGATAGGACTTGATACGGAAGCCTAAGCCAAAAGTGGACCTCAAGCACAGTCAACAGATGCTTGATGCAGTATCTCATAGGGCGTCGTGAGCTGGCCTGATCCGATGGTCGCTCTTCGATGCTAGCTGATGATTGTCAATTCGACTACAGCACCACCTGAGTTCCAGGCGCGTGTTTTTCCGTCCTTTGGAGCCATTTGATTTCTAGGATTTTCTGGGTAAGCTATGCAAGGTTAATGCGTCTGGCATCACTTTCGGCCTGGGAGTCGAGCTGCTTGCGACGGCAGGCTTGCAAAGTAGAAGCTTCATTCGGCAGCTTTCACGTGACAGGGTGAGTGGGGACTCCTCGGCCACAGGATCAATCATCTCCAATCAGACCAACAGCAGCGAATGGCTTTCCGCAACAGAGGCGCTCACTTGTGAGGACCTTTGAGCAGCAGCGTTTTGCCGTTTGTGCAGGTTGAACATTTTCTTGGCGACCCTGATGTGCTGCATGCTATTGGTTTAGTTCTAGGCCTGGCACAAGCTTATGACCGAAGTTCGGTACCGCGACAAAGATCACTTGTCTGGTTGCTGTGCTTGTCATGACCCGGTCAGGAACAGGTGCCATCGTGTGGGGCAAGAGGCCGGCAGTCTTCTGGATGTGCAGTACATGAGACTAAGGACAACTTACAGCCGTACGGGATCTTTGCCTTTGAAAAGCGAACGTTGCAGAGGCTGCCACACATGCTGGCTGCGGTGGCATCGATAAGTCTTGGTCTATGGATTGGCCTGGTGGCGCAGGCCAAGCCCTGTGTCAAGTCCAGTCGGATGGGTCTTGAAGCACGATAGGCTATAAAGCAATGATCTGCAACATCGAGATTTCTCCACAGGAAGTGTTTCAGCTTACGATGTCAAAGTTGGTGATTGCGTGTTGCACAGATCTAGTCGCTAGAGACTTAGGGAGAGTGCAAGGGCGCCTGTCTGGGAACATTTCAGATCAATCTAGCGGGGCACTAGCCTGAGATGGGTGCTGGTCACTTTGAAGCATTTTGGCAAGATTTGCAGATTAAGGGACGGTCGTTTGATGTGCTTGTGTTGTGTTGTCGTCGAAGCATTCTCCAATTATCCACGCATTTTCATTTGTTTGAATCGAGCGGTCAGGACCGGCAGCACTTCAACACCCCTGTTTGGGGTGTGGACCTTCCAGAAGGCCGCTTCTACTACATACACTGATCATATAGACTGTCCACCTTCTATGTGCCAGACTGGCAGGAAAGTGGTTCCCTTGGGTGGCTGGAGTTGCTGCAGGAGCAGCGGCGGCACCCCGACTCTTTCAGCTTTGCTTGCGATTGGTTTGGACACTCTGAGCTAGCCGCCTGGGCCAGATACTGAAGGCCTGGAAAATGAGGTGACCGCTCACGTCCTCTCGCATGATTCATGAAACAGCCGCTAGCAAATGTGGCAGCAGCTACGGAATCAGCAGAATAAAACCGCAGAAGCAAAAGCAACCAAGGCGTCTGCCGCTGCATAATCAGGCGGCCACCATGACACCAACCGGCCACCGCCGCCGACGCCACCACCACCGCCGCCGCCGCCGCCGCCGCCACGCCCCCCCCACCGCCGCCGCCACCGCCACCACCACCGCCGCTGCCCTCAGCTGCTCTCAGCTGCTCTCAGCTGCTGCAGCATCAGCAGCACCACAACTTGTAGCATCGTCACCGCTGCTGATTCTCGCTCTTCTTGGCTGTATGCACACTGCTTATCAACCAGTCATTATCATTCAGGCAGTTTTGAGCTACTTCACCTGGAAGTTGGTGTGGAGCTTGGTCTTAAGACGGAAGGCATGAACATCAGATTCACTGTCTCCGGCTGGATCAGGCACTGGCTCTGCTCACGGGAGGTTTGGTCACGCTGCTTGCGCTTGCTGTCCAGACCTTACGACTTGCAAATGTCCATCTTGTCCACTGCACATATCTTGTTTCTGTTTGCGAGGCCTGCCGCTTGGCAAACGTATCGCCAGAGAAAGTCTTCCAGCAGCTTGCCCCGCTTACCTTCGACGAGTAGTTGTGAACGGGAGAAGTTGGACATGCGGTGTGTGTTTTCTTGATGTGTTGAAGCATGCTTTGTAACACTGCGTTGCGCATCGCATTGCAGAGCAACCAGGTTGGGCTCCAACTTGCTGTCCTCGTATCGCTTGGTTGGTGGTGAGCTCAGCATCATGCCGCGACATGGTTCGTAACGCCGTACCATCATCTTCCTCATTTGAAAACTTCAGCACCTGACAACTAGCAGAGCTGGCTGCCGCACGCATGCCACCCGTTTTTGAGAAATCTGTATGGCAAGAGACTGAAAAGGAAGCTGGTGTTTAGCCGGCCGAGTTCACAAGTCCTTCATTGATTGATCTACCAAGAGAACAAGCTTCTGTTTGAGAACTTCCACACTCTGGCTTGTAAGTCGGCCTTCGTCGTCCATCATTTTTCAAAATGCTGAAAAGTCTGAAGCCTTGGACGTGCCGTAGGCGCTGTGGTGCTGACTTTATCAATCATTGCACGGAGCCTAGCCTTGTCCACATTTGCCCGCCTTGCACGGCACTTCTGGACACGTCAGGTCTTCTTCTTCATGGTGAGGAAGTGCCATGCTCAGATGTCTGAATTTGCAACTCGGCGGCCTTTAGCACACTCAGCTGGAAGGCAGTTTCAGAGATATCTGGCCCTGACTTTCCCAAACATCTGGGCGACAAAATGCGACAAAGGCATCAGCGCAGCTGGGCACCTTGCTACTACTGTCCGCTGCTCACGGCTCAGCATTTCCAAGTTCCGGACTTGAGGAGACGTTCCACTTTCGTTCTGTAAGGTTTCGCATTTCGCAGCGCGAGTCGGAGCAGAGGCAGCCAGATCTCACCATGAGCCCGTTCTCGAACGCGTGCCTGACGTGCTCCTAGAACATCGGCAGTCTCAGCATGGACTCGACACCTGAAGCTCAAGCCAAGACACAGTTTCATCCTGTAGCGCAGTAAGAAAGACCGCTTCTGCGCCTTCGAGAAAATGACTGTGCAAACAGGTGTAGAAGCCTATAGCATTCAGGTTCTACTTGCTAGGCTCCAAAGACAGGCAAGTGCACCGAATCCTGAAGCTCGCCTGGTCATTCTGCAGCCAGGCTCCATTCTCCTTGCTGGATGACCTGGCACGAATGGTTTCAGAGGCGTGTCCCTGTTGATTTCGTTCCTCGTCCCATACTTCTGCAGCGACATGAGTGGCTTTATCAGCAGAGAAAAATTGTACTGGACCCTTCTAAACTACAAATGCCACCAGCACATCCGCTTGTCCATTTCGTTCTTCGCGACATTCGTAGTAGCTTGCACTCTCGTGCAACGCCTCCAGAGACATCAAGTGAAGTCTTTTCACATGCAGCTGCCACAACCTGCCCTAAGACACGGGAGGACAACGCAACATCATGCTATCTTTGCCAAGCCACGCTTGTCGTTTGTTGCGCAGGTCCGTGCAGGCAATTGCCACTTGTGGGAGAACCAGGAGCAGCTGCAGGAAAACTGAGTCCAGATGTTTGGAGGGTTCCACGAGAGCGTGACCATCCCTTGCAGGACCCTGGCCTTGCAGGGTGTGACTGCAACACCCTCAAAAGAGTCAAAAGTGTCACGATCACTTCCTGGCCACATCTTGAACATCTCGACCTCAAAGGCGGGGAGAAGTGCCGCACAGAGATTGGTGCATGGTCCCCACCTCAGAGTGACTTTGAAAGCTCCAAAGCTTTGGAATGTTCAGTGTCGATCCTGCTACCCGCATGTTTCTGACTATGAGCTTCACCATGTCTGTGCCACTCGAAGACCCCTCTGAGCTTCTTTCAGAGCCTGCCCTCAAATGGAACTGCTAGAAGTATGCAACTGGTGTGTATGTATCGCTGTTATGTTTGGAAGGTGCAAGCATCCAGCAATTCCCGTGCCTTGGAGCTTCGTATTTTGGGACGCTGCAGGCTTGCGAGTTCTGCGACGGTTCTGGCAAGTAAGTGCATGCTCCGGTGGTACCGCACCCGAAAGGCTGGCATGCAACCAACTTGCAGCCAACTTTTTGTCTTCCTGGCATGAGGCGGACAAGCCTACTCAAGAAGAGATCGCTCCGCTAGCGAGAGAGGGCTCTTCCGGACCAGGAATGTCACCTCAGGCCATCCGTAACACGTGTGAAGCTGCCAACATCAATGGTACCATGTAGCCCTTGGTGAGGTGGTCGGCGCGGCTTCAGCGGAACCTTAGCGTCAGCGACAGAGGTACAATCAGTGGTCAAGCGGACATGCCCTGCATTTGGCAGCAAGCTCCTATTCGTGTGCTCTGTGAATCTCAACAGCCAGCGCAGTCAGTAACTTTCCTGATCCATAGTTCTTGCCCTTGTAGGTCAGGCACACGGATGGCTCGGAGCTGAATGCAGGACGGCATTCAGCCGGGTTTGTCGATTTGTCGGCTGCGCTTCTGTTTTCTCATGAGGAGATGCAAACGTTCGTCGCCCGTTGTTCAGTGGCCCCGCCCTTGTACATACAGCCTTGCTGCGCATACAAGGAGGCTGGAACACCCAGCTTCCTGCTCGGCTCAGCAGCTGGCAGCAACCAACTGCCAGTTTGGAAAGATGGCCCAGCAAAAGGCAGTTCTCCGAATTTCACCACAGCTCCGCCCGGAGCTTCCAGCTTGCCATGGCACAACCAATGCCAGCACTAGATTGCCTGGCAAAACTTGCACGACCTGTTCTGCAGCTGCTATCTTGTCTTCAAGCGAGTCTTTCAATTGAATCTGGGTTTACTTGGGCTCCGTGACATTTACGTACTCCCTCGGACCCCCTTTGCAAAACAGAGCCAACATTGCGTTTATCCATCGCACTACGATTCAGCTACCCAATGACAGAGCCTTTGCTCCAGAGGGTGAATGGCTTCTTTGAGAAGGCTGGCTGCGGTACTGACCGAGCAGGGCTGGCGGAACTTGCGTCGGAAGGGGCCGCTGAAGCTGTATCTTGGCGCCGAATTTGTGAAAGCGGTATCTCTTCACCCCAGGTGACTTCATCCCTTGAGGTGAAAGCTGGAGCTGTTGCCTCCGGCCTTGTCTTTGGTGAGATCCTGACGCCAGAAGAAGTATTCCGTCTGCTGGATCTGGGGAAGGATTGGAGGCTGACCAAACCCTATTTACGCGGCATCAGAGTTGCCATAATCTCGACATGACCGTCAAACTTGCAGATGGATTGATGTGTGGAGCAGGACGATGTGTTCTATGACTTGGGAAGTGGCCGAGGGCAGGTACGCGGCAAAAAGATCGTGGGGTGTGGTAAGATGTGCAAGCATTTGCGCAACTGCTTTGGTCACGAAGGTGGTGCTGGCAGCGGCTCTCAGCTCAATGCCAAAAAGATGCGTGGGTGTTGAGCTCATGGCGCCACGCCACCAGGCATTGCATTAGTCAGCTGCTATTTCCAAGACCGATCAAGATGCCTCACTTGGTCAAGAATCGTCCTTGCCGTTCGGTTCCGACAGCTCCGCCTAGTACAGTGAACTGGTTAAGAGCAAACGTTGGAAATTTGAGGGCATGTTCTCAATGACCGAACTTCAGTGCCAGTTTGGCTTGCACTGACTGGGGCACACATGTCAGAATTTCTTTGGCAGCCAGGCTCCTTCCACACCCGAGAAACTCCCGAAGAAGGCTAACACATCATGCAGGTGGCATTGGCTGCAAGAGCATGTGCTCCGGAAGATGTACAGAGGCAAGCTACTGGAGTCACTGTCGCCATCCACAATTGCATTGGAATCGTGTTTAAAGACTTTGCTCCAGAATTGCATTTTAAGAACTTGTGTCAGGACATGTGAGTTCCGCTGCGAAGACGCGCTTGAATGCCAACTTGAGGATAGGGTTGGGGTGACCCTGACAGAAAGAACCTACCAAAAGTCCCAAGAGCTCAGGACGCAAGCAAAGTCTACGTCTGCAATGCCGCCTTTCCGCGACATCTCAACGCAGCGTTCTCTGCGTCACTAAGTGCTCGACGAGCTCCCGCCCTTACAGCCTTGGTCACTTGCGCGGCTTTACCCGAGGCGCATTGCCTGCTCAGCTTTTCAGGGACTTGGCAAGCTGCCATCAACTTGTCAAGCTACATAATCTTGGCACTTTGTGCCATGCCACAATTATCACTATGGAGTTGGAGGCACCAATTTCGTTACTCGTAACATGCTAAAGGGACGGGGCTTTCTCAGCCGATGACAGCACAGATTGGCGCCTATACTTATACAACACAGCCAGATCAGCGTGCATTGGTGCCTCATGGTCATCTCCCCCTAACAAACTCGATTGCATAGAAGATGGAACGTGCCCAGCGTTTCAAGCCCATAGCAGCCATGTATGACACACGACTCGGCAGTTTGTTGTTGAAAGGGCCTGAAGCCTCGAGATGGAATGTTCACGCCCTGGGCAAAGGGGCAGTTGACCGGAATTCTCCGCAGATTTGTCCGCCCTTACTTCATTATCGGTGACATGGGCAGCATCACCATGGACTGCATGCCACCTGTCACTTCATTCGACGACAGTATGTCCTCATCTCTCAACTTCAAGCTGTACACGCTCGCGGTCGCCTCATTGCGAGAAACGGAAGTGCACGACGCAAACAACAAGTTCACAAAAGTTCATAACAATTAAGGTTTGCGTGTACTAATTGAAATTATCATTTCCATTTCCACAGGAACAGATCAGAACGTCCTGTAAGGCAGGCACAGTCACACCTGTTCTGTTGCCATCATGCGCTTCAGGAGTCTCTGCGCCAGGCAGGGCTGCAGTTTCTCGACTGCAGTCATAGCAGTGGTCTTCTATGGTGTTCTTAATCATGCATGCTGTAATGTGGGACATGCCGATTTTGATCATGTGAGTCTGGAGAAGGCTGTCGCAGGTCGCGCAGTGTTCAGCGTGCCTGGGCTTCATCCTTCACTGCTGTTATGTTTTTGTTTGAGGCTCGCGTGTCTTCGGCCAGACTGGTATGAAAGGAAAATCCAAATTCTGAACATGTCTGGTAAGCTTTATGACCTTGAAACTGCGGTCAGGACATGGGCAACAGATGGAGCCCCGCTGTTCCTCTACAGACGCTGCTCGGATGTCGCTGCAGCCAGCAATCATGCCGTGCCCAAGATTCCTCACAACGCAACGTGGCGCTTCATCAAGCATGCTTGGTCTGTGATAGCTCGGATGCTAGGTGATCACCGTGTCTTCAGTGACTTGGAGTCAGGTGTTGTACGAGGCCTCCAGACAACTGACCGCTGCATCAGCTGCAAGTCAACATCCAGGTGCGCCTCCCAGCTAAGCCATGACTGTTTTGGCATAGCAGTGCGCAGAAGCATGAAGCATGACGTGGGAACTGAGGCCTCTCTCCTGAGGATGAACGAAGTCTGCTGCGGTCGGCAGCGCTTGCATCGAAACTTGCTGGCTGGTCCTGACTTCTGATGACTTCTGTGACCGCATGATCGAAGATGTGAACATTCAAGAGACGTTGCGGCGAACCGCAATCTGAAGCTGCGAACGGCACAAGGACTGCTGCGAGATCAGCCAGGGAAGAAGACAGCTATGCAGCAGGAGTCTCAAGGCCTCAAGGATAGACCTTCAACACCTCTCAGAAGTAGTTGAAGAACGACTGCAGATCTGACTGGGCGCTGCATTGACAACGTGCGAACCTCAAGCCCCAGGCAGGTGCAAAGGGTGCTTCTCATAGCAGACATGTTGTAGCAGAACAGCGGCAGTAGTACGTTTGAAGTTTGTGTTCCTCTGTTATTTCCTGGGTTGAGTCTCCTTCCTGGAGACTCGCGTGATGCCATTAGTAGTGAGACTCTGCCGGCTGCAACTGAAAAGCCGGGTTTGGTTGGCTTGGGTTGACAATGTGCCTGCGACAGGGCTTTAATATGGCATCATTACGGCACCATTGACTTTCCAACATTTGCACATGTCGGAAGCCAGGCTTGTAGAATGACAGCTAATGCCGCATGTTGGAAGACAAGATTTCAAAAGCTTTGTTGTGCGAGATAAGGACATGTGAGTGCCACAGATTGATTCTCATGCGCAATTCTGGCAGGCACAGCTGTTCGTCCCATCAAGGATGTGTGAGGATTCGTAAGGATGCGTGTTAGGTCACCACGCGAGCCAGAGGTGGTCAAGGGTCTTGAAATGTCTCGAATACCGCTTGTGCCCAGTGTCTGGGAGCAGGCTTGTTAAACAGATGAAATTAGGCTGCTTAGCATTTGAAATCGCCGCAGCATACACACGAGCGCTGTTGCCGGGGTTCTCGAGCAATGGCGTCGTGCTGGGCAAATGCCTGGCTGCCAGCCAGAAGGCACCGCGAGCTTGCGCCAGTGCATTGGTCATAATGCTTGCGGTTCTGCATGATGCTGAGTGGAATGATGATGACGATAATTAGGGCGATGAGGATGAGGATCATGATGGTGATGCTGGTGATGATGGTGATGATGTTGATGATGATTGTACCATGGACAATTTAAATACAGTGGTGATTATGACCGTCTTCAAGCCATGTTGTCCTTCCCGCTCCTCTTCCACCATCTCCTCTTCCACCTCTTCCCACTCGTCATCACCATTGTCGTGCTTGCTGCTGGCGTTGGAGCATGTGAGTGCAGGCGCAGGAGGATAAGTCCTTGAAGTATCCTTGAGCTTCCGCAGAGACCTGTGCGACAAGCGCCTTGGCGATTTAGAGTGCAGCGCAGCAAGCTATGTTTGTGTTTTTTTGGCTTTCTGCAAGACTGAATTCGCCTGTGGTTTGACTTTCTCTGGTGAGAGAGGATCGAACCTTCGCAGAGCACCATGGCTAGTTGAGGCTTGCTGCAAAAGGTGGTTGATCTTCTGCGAAGCCGAGCAGAGTTGGAAAGGAAGTATGGCGAGAGAGTCTCCTGGGCTTTGGTGGGGATCTACAGGTTGAGCCAGGCCGGCTCCTGCAGCTTCAGTACGACCAAAGCCACACGCCAGAGCTTCCTTGGTGAACTCCTGAACTTAGCATTGCTTCACATGGCGACGGGTCGGAAAATTAGAGAAACGACAAGCAGCAGTTTTTCAACATCATCAAAGGTTTGTAAACCAACAAACTTTCCCCACGTAAGAGAGGATGCAGGACAAGAAAGGAAGGCAAGAAAGGAAGGCTTGCATCTCCTGTTGAAGTTTAGGGGCTGCTCGTCACAAATGTGGCTGAGATTTTGCGTCATGTTCTATGCAGTTGGATACTTGTCCAAGTTGAATTTGCTTCTGTGTCTATCCGCAGCAGCTTCAAGGCCCCTATGTTGAGAGACTGCCACCACAACAATTTCTGAGAAAATGCCATGTACGAGGGCGGCAGAAATTGTTTGCCCGAGCAGAGCAAGCAGCCAGAAAAATGCAGCGGTGTGCTCGCCTGCATTTAGCGCCCCGAGTCACGACGCAGCCGGCAGCAGGCTTCAAATTCAGCAGCCTTTTGGGCTCCGGTGCCAGCGCTGCCGTCAAGCAGCTGCATCCCAACCACGCTGATCAGGACGAAGATAATCTCAAGCATGACTTCCGCGTGCTTTGGCATTGAGGGCACGCGAACTTCGTCGTCCAAGGCTGGCTTTTAATTGCAGATGGGTGGATGGGCCTCGTGATGGACAGAATGCAAGAGAACCTGCTGCGCTTTGCTGCCGGCCACCAGATAGTCATCCAGGCTTTTCTATCAGCTGCTGGGCAACCCGCACAGGCGCTTCATTGGCTGGAGAACTGCGCAGTAGTGCATGGAGACATCAAACCCGACAGTATTTTTTTGGCTACCTGGGCCGGGTCTCTGAGACTCGGCGATTTTGAGTTTGCCCAGCACATCAGCGATGAGCTGCTGACGAAGAAGGTGGGTACGCCTTTCTACTGGAGCCCCAAAATGTTTGCGGACAGGGCTGTTCATTTGGCCATGACGTTTGGGGCATGGGAGTTCGCCTGGGCAATCTTCGTTGCGTGGATGAGCGCGCCGACGTATTGCTAAGGAACATCCTTGTGAGCGCTGAAGAACGCCCATGCGCTCGCGATGTGGCGTTTGAAGTGCACAACCTGCGATGTTCCCGTCAAGCCTCCGGTATGGAGGGCGTGTCTAGCACCGGCGCCAACAAGGGGGCCTGCGACGAGGCGATGAGTGCTCGGATAGGTTTCATCCGAGGGCCTGGAGGGCGAAGAGACGAGTGCTCGGGCGAAGACGCGTGTTCTTCACGCCACTCCGTGACCGACTACAACGACGAGACGGTTTGTTGTGAGCCTTCACGCGGAGTGTGTTGAAAGCATGGTAGTCTTATGCCACAAGAGTCACGGGGAGAGCATTGGTGGTTCCAGTTGCTTGCACAGGCGGCTCAGAATTTCAAAAAAAAAAACAACTTCAGCCACGCAATACGCTCAAGAGAGGACGAGAAGGATACCGGTGGAGATCATGTCAAAAAAATCCGCACCGGACAGCGGAGACTTCATGTGCCCAGCCCTCCCGGTATATTACGATAGTTGATTGTAATATAGCTTACTGCTCTACCGCCTATTTTGTTGCAGCAGTTCTAAGAAAACTTCGCGAACCCTATGTAAGCACCTTCACACATTGTTTGTCGTAATTTGCCCATGGGTTGGATGGATGGCCTGTTATTCAGATGTTTCTATCGGCGCCTCCTGCGGAGCCAAGATAATTATCAATAACATTTTGATTTTCGAGATCTGGCCACTCTGAGGGATCCTCTTCCTACGCAGGAATGTTATAGCGCTGATCCATATGCTCGCACCAGGCAATCCCCTCCACGCCGCAGTTGATGTGATGATCGCAGCTTGGACAGCGAATGAAATGTTTGGATGTGCGGTGCGGTTTCAGGGTTCGAGGTTTGCGCAGAAATGCGCAGAGTATTTGCGCCGTGTTTCGTGAGGTCGGGCCGATACGTAGACCACGCTTTTGTCGCAGGCTGATTTGGCCTCGCTCTCACATGCCATTCACGTGCAGGTGAATTTCCGCAAACGCGGAGAGCAGTCCATAACTTTGGCTGATGAACTGAAGCAAGACATCATCGTTTGCGTTGACGCCGTCATCAAGCAGGACAAAGAGGCACCTTCGGCTTCAAGGGAGTGATGTTGCCTGATGTGCTACTGCGGAGGTGTCGAGAAAGACCCACTCCGATGCGCAGCTTGTGACGAAATATGCCCAAGGCACGCTCCCTACACCTTAGAAACCCTAAAACCCTAAAACCCAAAACCACTAAAAACGCTAACCGCTAACACGGACTCTGGAGGGGCTAGACCGCGCTGCTCTGTCCTTAGCATCCAGACATTTTGTGCACCGTATCAGAGGCGGAAAGAGAACGACAAATTGGTGAGAAGGCCGGTTTTGGCCAGGGTGAACCGACTTGGGGCTTAAGTTTGGGGATAACGTGAATGAAGTTTTTTTCTTCTCGGGTATTGGTGAGTGCCGCATAGGTTTCCGAGTGTGCCTTTTTGCTGTTGTCGAGGGGATACCAGTTCATGCCAGTACTTGTACCGGTTCCTTTTTTGGGTTGACAGACAACTATCTGATAGTTGCATTCTCGCATTTTGCATAAACTCTTTGGTATAGTAACTATAGTAAACACACTGTACCATAATCTGGTACTATAATGTGATATACCCCAATGAAATACAGTAGAAGTACTGTTAGCAGCTGTGTGGTATACCGTAGGTTTCGTAGAAGTTGACCAGGTACGGTTCACGCTGTGCGGAGGCTGAGTACTTAGTGCAGGAGCTCTGCCAGACCCCAGGGTTCGGGACTCGAGCACTTCAGCTGCCCCAAGGGGAGGGCATGTGATCAGAGGGTTTTGGGGCTTTCGGGTTGAGGTTTTTCGTGTTGTGCAGGTTCAGGGCTTAGGATTTGGAGGATTCTGGTCGGCGCAGTCAGCTTGCCAGGACTGTTTGCAAGCAGTCAAGGCTGAGGCTGTGGCCAAGGCAAAGGCCGCTGCCAATTGAGGCTTGCCGTGCAGGTTGATACAAGCCGAGCGTGAAGGCTGCAGCCTTGCAGGAAAACATATGGGCATTTGTTTGTCTGCACGACAATCAGGAAGACGTTCTCCGCGTGAGAGTGCTTCTGAGAATCTACGCTTGCCCATGAACCTTTCCACAACTTGCAACCCGGATTTTGAGGCTCAGACCAGGGCTCGTGTTTTTCACAGCAGAAAGCATGTCACAGTTTGTTTCATATCATCACCACAGCAAGAGCATGTGTGAGACAGCCAATTTGATTGGTGTTGACTGGTTCTCCATTGAGAGCTTTTCATAGTTGCAGAGCAATACAATGGCCCATTGTTGGCACGAGCTTGCATACACCTATGCACGTTTAGGATTAAGTCAGGATTGAAGCGGAGCAAGTCCTCTGTTTGTCTCTGGGTTTCAATGTCAACTTCCAGGCGCGGGGTCTGCTGAGCATCACAATGAGAGCGCATGTGGCTTTACCTCATTGCCTTCGTGCCTGCAAGATCTGTTTGTTCGAAACACAAGAAGCAGCCGCAATTTCTTGTGATTTGATTACGGGCGTTCGAATGCTACTGTGTTTCCACCATGGGCACGGAAGTGCGCAGATGCCTGAACCTCGTGGTGCTATGCCAAATTTTGATGCAGGTGCCCATGGGCCGTGCAAGGCGTGCCTGCTTGTTTTGTCAAGACTATATGACAGCATGCAGACATGCATTGGCAACAGCAGTCAGCTTCGAGGCTCTCATCTTTCACCTAATGCTTGTGCCGCCCTTTAAACGTCAGCTGTAGTCTCCGTAGGAATCATTCTTTAATTTTTCATTGTAGTATAACCTAAGGGATCGTTCAAAATATTCGTTATAAGGGGACTACAGTCAGGTTCGACTGCTATCTCCAAGCCGGAGCGCTTTCAAGACGCCCCTAAGCATGCCCTCCCTCCCTTGCATGCTGCAGTCAAACATTTGCAACAACTTGGGCATTCTGCACCTGGCAAGGCAACTGTATGGTCAGGAATCATCCTTTGGCCTGTGGGGCCCGACGTTGGCGGTCATGGCGTGACGCTTGTTTGATCGATGCCCTGAATTTATGAAGGGCACTCTTTCCTGCTTCTCAGGTTGTGGCGGCATTCTGTTTGATATGCTGGTTAACAGCAGCGAAGCCGTGGGAGCCTCGCTTCTTGAATCCTGTTCCAGCTGCGTCGCAGCGCAATCAGCAATATCGAGCATGTATCTGATGACCGGGCAGGCCCGATGTGCAACAGAGTAGTGTGCGACAAGTATGGGAGGCCACCGCCACATGCGGCCACATCTAGCCAGCTCCTGAGCTGCTCTGTATCAGGTGCCTTGACTAGTGAGCCAGGATTCTGCCCTGGGCCAAAACCGCGATCAGCGGGGATGCTTGCAAGCAGCAGGCCGGCTGGAGATGTAGCAGGTCAGCCAGTCAAGCAAACAACGGATTCAGAGCAAAGCACTTGAACAAAACACACCAATTTTCCTTTGCTTTTACGGTTGCAGCTCAATATCATTCAACATCCGAAGTGTTTCTGGGAGACTGCAGACGCCCACAACACCCTACAAGTACCACTGGTTGAGGAAGTAGTTCACATGCATCCTCCTCATCACATGCTTGAGATTGATCGTGCGTTGCAGGCAACCGTAGGCAAATCTTCCGAACCCACATGTGGATGTCGCACCCAAGCGAAAAGCTGAGATTCCCTTGATCGCAGGCTTTGTTTGGTGCGAAGGTGTTGCCTCCTCGTTTCAGTGCAGTCCCAGTATCAAAAAGTCATGAGAAAGACTTGAAAGGCGATGGAAGGTGTATCCGACCCTGGAAGGTTGGCTGATGTCATTGCATCCAATCCGTGACAAAAACGCAATTGGATTGGCAGGAGACTTGTCCCGGGGGAACAGACTTCTGCCGCAATTACTGTGCGTAAGGAACTGAGTCAACATTGGATGGCCTTCCTGATTTGACTTGCCTGCAATCATGGCATGGATGGCATGGGAATTCAGGGAGAAGAAGCAGAGTGGCTCAGCGAGAGCAAGCAGAAGCGGACCAGGATCTCACAGCTGGGTACTGAGTCAATGGCAAAGTACCGCAAATGATGCAGATCTTGCACAAATCTCTGGCACCTCCTTGCAGCAGTGAGCTACACGTGTGCGGGAGGTGTTTTCTGTCGCTGTGCAGCCGACAAGGCAGATGCATAGAAGACATGGGGGGAAGATAGGGAAAAGCAATTGCTAATTGAGACCAAACTTGCTGGAGGCTGTTGGCGCGGAGCACGCGGACGTGACAAAGGATATCAACGATGAAGGACCGCAAAAATTCAGATATGTGCCTCAAAAAGGATGACTGTTATCTAATATAGAAATGATTGAATTAGACGGGCAAGATCAATTTCAGATATACTTCAATATTACGCGCGGCCACTGGCGGTCATTTCGCTCGCGCGCGGCCTAGGTTTTCCGGCTCAGCTTTAAAATGCCTCCTGCGGGCTCCTCGGAAATTTTTCGAGCCCTTCGGAAAAGCTAGAGGCTCCAACATCTCAGAGATTTTTGGTGCGGGCCCTTGCCTCCGGAGCGGTGTTCCGCGTGATTTGTCTCTCTTTGGCTTCGGCTGCTCGGCGGAGCGCATAGACCCGGGACGGAGAACTAAAATCTTATAGAATTTGTAGGTTGGCTGTAATTATCTGTCCCCGGAGATTTATGCGCTCCCCTAAGCCGCGCAGATAGCCCAAGAGATTTCGAATTATTTCTCTCTCTTCGGTGTCTGTTCACTGAGAGTCATGCGCTCCCCCGAACAGCCGCGCAGATAGCCCAAGAGAGATAAATGAGACGGAAAGGTCGGGTTGGAGGGGGGCCGAGCGACCCGAAATTTTTCGAGCTTTCCGCTGTTTGTGCGGCCGCTGGGTACGGGTCCAGGGTAGAGACCTAGATTTTTTAGAATCTTTCTATTTACGAAAAGTTATGCGTTCTCCTAAGCTGCTGCTTAGGCAGACCAAAAATGATTAAAGAAATGGAAAGACCGGGCTAGATTGGGGAGGGAGGGCGCGCATGACGGAAGATTTCTTGAGATTTGAATTACTTCTCTTTCTTTTGTATGGCGCTTGGGGGAATAGGGTGATATGGGATAGAATTGCAGAATCTATCTATCGTATATATTATATGCGAGCTAATAATATATTGGTAGATTATCGATTTATGGGCGATTTTATATATTGATTATCGGATTTCTATTTATATATTTTCAGAATTATATTCTTTGCTCTAGGAGATAAGAGATTCTAATTTATTGAATAGATTTTTCTCGATAATTTGATATTAGAAATTTTATTATAAGAGGAAAATATAGAAATTATTTTATTTTAATAGGATCGTGATTCTACTTATATATTTGTCGTTTTAAATGAAATTATTTTCGGAAAATTATTCGAGTATTAATAAATAATATATTATTTGTGCGTTTATTTTTTATTTGGATTTTAGATATATTTTCTTCATTTTAATGATATTTCATCGAAATATTGATATTGAGAAATATTTTATTTTTATATATTATTTTCTATTTTTTAAACGAGCATTCTTTTTTATCGTATTTTCTAAATTTTGCTTTATATTATGATTTGAATTATTTCTTTTCTCATATTACTTTATTAATAAATATATAAATGATTTTTTTGATGATTATTTGATATGGAAATGATATATGATAGATACTGAAAAAATTCATAGAAATTATTAAATGGGATTTCATCGAGATTTTCAGATTTTAAATAATGTATCAAAAATATTCCAATGAACCCGATGTTAATAATAATAGAATATCGTTATTGGCGTATATTCGTATTAGTAAGCTAACTGATCGGGAAGAAAATGAGCCGTGGAATTTTATATCTTATTATCGTTTTTTGTTTGATAGTCTCGAATCCTAAATATATATATTGATGGTTTCTACGTATTTGAGGCGATTACTATATTTATCAAATTGCTCCTCCAAGAAATACGCGCTCATCGAGAGATATTCTTGGCGGAACGGATTTTTTGATTTTTCTTAGGTAATCTAATTGGATTTGGACGTACCCATACGTACCTCCCTCCAAAGGTTCTATGAAATTAAAATCTCAATTCGAAACCCGAATGATGACATGATTCTGCTTCCCTGGCCAACAGAGCTGGAGACTCTAATCCCTTGATATCTTATATAGATTCATATAATTATTATTTATTTTCTGGCAGAGCATCATCGATTCATTCTATAAGAATATAATATGATAGGAGATGATTTTATTATGCTCGGGCGGTTTTATCGCTAATCATTCTTTGAAATTCGTCAGGTTCTGGCAAGTCTGAAGAAATTTGCCTAGGAGGGGTCGGGTTGTCATTAATCCCGATGATTTATATAAATTCTTCTGACCCAAGATATAGACAATATATCTATATATCATTTTCTCTCCAACGGCGTCTTGACAAATATCCGTCAGAAGATTAATTGCTGGAAATTATGCAAATAACGATACGGCGTCTTCTACGGCATCAAGCTCGTCGAAATCCTGAAGTTCGCCGCATCCTTGGGGTTTTGCTGTGAAGCGTAGAGGTCTGAGAATTAGGCGGAGGATTGCATGATTCAGGGTTGATAGCCATTTGACGTATCTAGATTTTGGGGTCTAGATTTTATGGATAGGAGGACTTGAAGATCCAGAGCTTGAAAATTAGAATCATCTTCGAGAATAATTCGAAATGGAAAAAGATCTATGAATATTGCTAGCCTGCTAGTCTTGGAAAGGATGATTCTGGCCTTTCATTCTCAAATATCCGCGGCGGATCGGAAGAATATATAAATATCTGCTAAATTCTGAAAGATTTAGATTCTCCATTCTGGGATTTTATATTCCGTCGATCAATCTCATATATAATCAAAGAGAAATGAATCACGCGGAAGATCGCTCCGGGGGAGCAAGGACCGCAGAGAGCGCGCGACCTAAGATCTCCGTCCGGATCGTTCCGCTTGATTTATCTCTATTGGACTAATTATTGCGCGGCTCATAGATAAATACGATCAATTTATAGATTCTGAAATATTTGGGATTCTCCGTCTCGGATTTTCATATTTGGTCGACCAGCCGCGCATGCAATCAAAGAGAGACGAATCATGCGGAAGACCCCTCCGAGGGGCAAGGATCGCAGACAGCCAAAAAGAAAGATATGATTCGAAATCTCGGGCGATTTTTATTCCTGCGGACCAAGGTCTCCGACCTGGAATTTCCATTTCATTTATTTCTTTTGGGCTAATTATTACGCGGCGGATCGGGGAAGTGCATGATAAATATGGCTATCCCTATCTTTCTTGGATTAATTATTATGCGACGGATCAGGAGAGCTCATCTCAAATACGGTTATCTTAGGTCAGTACGTTCCGCCGAGCAGCCATGCGGGCAATCAAAGAGAGATATAAATCATGCGGAAAATCGCTCCGTGGGGAAGGGCCGCGCGACCAAAAATCTCCGAGCTTTTGGTCGCGCCGCCCGCACCAAAAATCTCGGAGATTTTAGAACCTCTAGCTTTTCTGAAGGGGTCTAAAATCTCCGAGATTTTAAAATTCCTAGGGAGTCCGCAGAAGCATTTTAGAGATGAGCCGGAAAGGCTAGGTCGCGTGCGGTCGAAATGGTCGCAAGGGGCCGCGCCATAATATTGAGGTATCTATTTTGCGAGACGATTATTAGATTCGCCGTATTTTCGGAATGCTTAAATTTCTATCTCTATAATCATATATAGTCGATCTATAATCTTCATCTGCAGAAAATATGAGATCTAGAATCTCGATCTAACGAATCTAGGATCTAGAATCGACGATATGAAATCTGAAATCTTTTCATTTCTTCAAGATTCGAGCTCGTGGAATTTAAAATCATATTCTTCGTATTCAAATCGAAAGATTTCTATAATATATTCTTATAGAAAATTTTTCATTCTAAGTTGAGAATCAAAGAAAATGAAATATCTTCTATTTCTTCGTTATATTTCAAAAATATCAAGATATCAGATTGATTTTTTTCTTATTTCGAAATTTTCTCAACCAATATTTGATTCCTTCAAATTATAATTCCCAATTATATCTCGGAATATATATTCCAGAAAGAATTCTTTTCATCCTAAATATCTTATATTATTTCGTCATATTATAGTTCGCAGATATCTCAAATCTATATTTTTTCTATTCTTATTTTTTCGATTATAATGATTTTATAAGAAGATCTTGTCGATAAATCTCCAATTTGATAATAAGATGAATCAAATATCTTATATCTCTTTGAGATATTTCATATGGTCATTTGATATAGATATTGCCAGCTGCTATGCCAGATTCCAATATGCAGATTCCAAATGCAAATTCAAAAAATATTCTATTTTCGCCTAAATTTTCATATTCATAAAATATGAAATCTTAAATATATCTAAATATAATATATATCTCATATCTTTTCAAATATGAATCTATATCTTTATATGCGACTATATTATTGAATATATTAAAGGCGATTCATAGAACTCTATCTCATATTAATGTATTTTCGAATTCTATATATATTAAATACAAGAATCTAATTCATTCTTTTGATCATCTAAATCTATCTATCCTATTCAAGATATAATATATTTGCAAGTTCTATAGATTCCAATTTAGATGATATCAATTATTCTTTTGATAATTTTCTTGATTTGAAAATATTTTCAATCTTTATGAATCCCAATTTAGAAGATCCAAATCATTATTTTGATTATATTTCAATCTTTTATTTTTTTTTTTATATTTTTCTATTCTACATATCTAACTTTA